TACACTCGCGTTGAAAATAGTACATGCACAGCTCCATCGTGACTCCCACCAAAAATAAACCCTTCTTTAGAGCAGAACAAAAAAAAAAATAGGAGTAATGTAAATTGCAGGTCACGACTGACGTTTAGCCAGCTGCTTCCCTGCCCAGAGGAGCCCACTAATGTTGACAGCAGTTGGGTCATGTGATCTTTGCGTCACGACGAAATGCATGTTGGGAGATGTATAACAGACAGATTAGTTTATCGTTTTTATTATTGCAATGTTCTCTTTAAATAGCAGTAATAATCTTCAAACAGCAAATACGTTTGTTCAGTTGATTTGAGAACAGATGAAAATTCAAGCAAATTAGCCAACAAAGAAACGATGGAGTTTTTTTTTTTATCACACACAAAAGCACATACACTAAGTCGCCCTACTTGAAATGGCAAACTGGATTAAAAAATATATATACAAAAGAACTGCCAAATATTTGTTAAAACTGCTCTGCTGATATGACATGACTCAAGTTGCTTCTTTTCTTCCAATCATACTCCCAATTTTATGAAAGTTAAGGTCTATCCTGTGCAAATATACTGTATTGTCTGGACATTTACACATTTCTTATGCAGACAATTTTTCAATACATGTAGCCTCCAAATCACCCTGTTGCTCTAGAAGATATTTTTTATATACATATGTACAGACACACTGGGAACACAGTGCATGGTTTAGCTTGTGCTTGCATTACAGAATCATCACCATAACCAGCTTTCACATACTGTAGGACAATAACCATTTGATCTTTTAAGAGGCCCTTTCTATTATGCACACTTAGAAGGGATTTGATTTGAAGTATTTCAATTTTAGATTTTCCATAAATATATAATGAAATTACATAGCCTGTTTCTTGCCCAAAATTGTATCGCCAATGTGTCATACCCATTCTTTTGAATCCTAACTAACCATAAAATGACTAGCTCCGTATGGATTTTAGTGCTTGACTTCTGAAGAAATTATTGCTCATCTTAACTCTTCCCTCTCTCAATGATGAATTAAAAGATTCCTTTAAAAATACAACCAGGTCCCTTGCAACGAGAGATCAAAATGAGAGAGGCCTCCAACGTAATATTCTAATGTGCAGCTTGTTTTTTTTCCTTTTTCTGAAAGAGTTCTGAACTAAGGGGCCTGTTGCATACACCAAAAACATTAACACCAATTCAACTAAATTATACTTAAGAAACAAGATTAAGAAGCTAATCCAACTAATTTATAAATTCAATATAGACAACAATTCAATACAGACAAATGGTAAATGAAGATACCAAGTTTTCTTGGTACATTATAATATGTAAAAAGCCTTGATTCAGAGTCTTTCCAGTTTAAGATGAAAAGTATGTTGGGGTTTGAGAATGGACAGACCAGTAGTTGTAAGAAATGAGAAGAAAGGGAGATAGAGGCACTCTTCAACAGAAGGTTAAATTCAATTAAAATATGGCTACAAACAATCTGGTTTATACCTCAGTGCAATATCTTATTAATGGTTTGTTTCCACATAAAAATGTTGGATTTAATTAAGAGATTTACAGGTAACTGAAATTAAACTGATCTGTACCATAGTGCTGTGACTTCTTCTCATCCATTATACCCCCCTGCCTTTTACCAAAGAGCAGGTCCCTTGCAACGAGAGAGACCGCATGACAGAAGCTTCCAACATATTCTTCTTGTGCGCATCTCGTTTTTTTTTCCAAGTGTTTTTTCCAGGAAGTGATTTTTACTCTTTTTGTATTAACCCACCCCTCAAAACATTTAGAAATCGTCCTTCTTCTAGCTTGGGTCCATGCCTGTCTGGGTGGGTGCTATCTATGCAGGATGTCATGTGTTAGAAAAGTCATTGGATGTTATTATTTCCATGTTTTCACCGGAATAATAAGCAGAACTGAGTGAAGCCATGTCCCACGTTCCTTCTCCATCAACTACGTAGCAAACTGTTGATAAAATGCCAGTTTGACCCTCTCGATGTGATGGCACAGTTTGATGGCGGGTCCCAGTTTCAGGTCCATGCACTCCTGTACTGTTGGGAGGTTCAGCAGCAGCAGTGCCTGCCCGTCTATCTCCTACAATCACATACATTCAAGTGAGATGCAGTTTCTACATATATACTGCATTATTATCAGATTCAAGAATGGAAAAATGCTGAACTGAAAATTCAACAAAATCTTGAAATCTAACGGTGAATGTGATTGTTAATATATGTTATGCAGTAAATTAAGTTAGAGCTCTATGTCCATGGGGATTGCTTACCTGATCCAAGAAAATCCTTGCAAGAGGTGCACAGTCTGTGGTCCTGATAAAGCGGACTACATCAGAAACACTCCACTCTAGTGGGCTGGTGTCCAAACAAAGCTTCTGAGGAGGCTCAACCTTTGAAGTCTGTAGACAAACAGATGCATTCAACAGTTCGACTCACATCTGACAGCATGCTCAAAAGATATACTGAGAAGATATCAAACCAAAATACTTAAGAAATGAAATATAGTATGACCTCAAAAGCATATTTAAAGGTACTGAACAACTGGGGGAAGATGTCTTTCACCTTTCCATGACAACTTGACTCAATAGAGTGTGTTGGGATCAATGCAGATTATCAATTTATCTATACATGTTTGTTGTAGGTGCACAGGAGAGATCAATTAAAAATATTGCAAAAGTTTTTTTTATCAATCTCCCTAATTTTCATTACCTTGGGTGAAGGAGGATGGTTCTCATCATCAGAGAACGAGGGTGAGCGGGGTTTCCGGCGCCGGCGTGAGGGCCGGGGCGTTGCTGGTGGGGAGGGGGACGGTGTGGTGGGCTGGGATTTTCCGACAGACTGCTCGGAATCGTCCTGGAGATCGTCCTGTATCTCAGACCCCGAGTCCTCGCTCAGGGAATCGTCTTCATCCAAGTCCTCTTCCTCTCCACTTCCCTATGGACCAGTTATCATAACATTAGGCTGTTTTCACAGAGAGGACAGTGAGGAAAACAATGGAAAAAACATAATGTCTTGTACCTGTGGAGATCCTGCAGGTGTGTTGTCTACTGAGGCTGAAGAGCGTCTTTTCTTATGTACAAAAAGCTGCTTTCTCCTCTTCCTTCTCCGTCCTCTTCTTTTTACACCACCCTCCAGATTGGAGTGACCCCCAGGTGGACGGCCAACACGTTTACTCTTCTTCTTTCCATAATAATATGCTGATGACAACACAACAGGTTATTGTTTTAATTGATATTCCATATGGACCGTACCATATCAGGCAAAGCATGTATGGGAACTAATTAAAATAATATGACTATTTGGATTAATTGAAAATGTCAGAAAACGGGGGGGGGGGGGGGTTAACATTTATGCCTTTAAAGCAGGTCAGATTGATTTGGCTAAGGGAAAAGCAGCACTCTTTAATCTGTTGCTATTATATTGCATCACTTTCTTTTTGCCAACACTGCACTGCAGCTGCCATAAACAAATTGTGTGTGAATTCCTCCAGCAAACCTATTCTGGATGAGATGAAAGAATGCAATTTTCTACCAACCATACCTACTGTTTCAGAGTTATTTGAAATGAGAGATTTCTATCTGCTATTCGGCACTGCATCACACAATATTTTATTTCCCTAGAGCACTTTTGAACCCAGTGATCATCTTCATTCACAAGCAACACAAATTAAACAGATTGAGGCTTTCTGTAAAAGGGAGAAATTTCTGTTTAGAGTAAAAGATGAGTTTTCTAGTTTAAGTCATAAAACACAATCATCGCTAGGGGGCAGAGTTTTACCAGGAAAAATAGTCACTAGTGTATGTACTTTAGTTTAGCATGTGGATCCATTGAAAAAATACAATTTCAGGCACATCTTTTATATCCTATGTTAGGAATTCTAATATAAATATGAAAAATTATAGCAATCAGAAAAAATTGGTGAGTGTTTGTGTTCCAACAAAAGAGAAAACCTACTGTATTTGGTCTTGGTGAGTACAGAGCAGTTCTCCGAGCAGCGCTCCAGAACCATGCCAGGTCCAAACAGGTTTGGGCAGCACTCTAATTTAATGCAAGTTTTCCTGCAGAAATCTGCCACGCGATCTGCAGTGCGGACAATTTCCACTGTAGCCCGGTAACTTTTTCCCTTGTATCTGTTGTTTGAAGAAGAGGAAAGTTAAACAGGCAGTGATTAATTTACCAAGGGCCCACAAAAAGGCTTGGTTAAAAAAAAAAAAGATAGTCCTTCATAAAGAAAGGTGTCTTATAGTATGTATACAAGTGGCTCTGATTGAACAGAGATGCTATGACAAGAGGGTCTTGCTTAAATGTCACCAAGGGGCTGCAACTATGTAGCTGCTTCACTGAAGAATCAGAAGAGAGAGCAGGTAACTATTTACACATGAAATGTGTTTTTAATTCAGCATGTCAAATAGGCCAGCTGTGAACACTTGTACTATACCAGCAGGTTTTCTAAAGAGCGGAGTATTTTGAGCTTTCAATTAAAGGGTGTTTCTCCTCACTTGGCTTTGAGTGTCTCTCCATATCCTTGCCAGCGGCTCTCCTGATCCAGCTGCAGCTCTCTCAGCACACGGCTGGGCTTGTATGCAGAGTTGATCAGCAGAGTCAATACCTGAATACATGATGTGAATAGAAATGAGACCATGAAGAGTTGTCAGCAGGTTGGAGGATTAGGTTTTATTACCTAAAAGATTATTCCGTTGCATCTTCACATGAAAAATTTAAAAAATCCTTTATTGCTTTTCTATTACAAATGTAAATGTTGATCAAAGCTATTAAATAATCTTAGTAGTGTTTGCACTTCTCCATCACTGATTGCTTGAAAACTTTCCCGCCCTTCTTTTAAAAACTACAACTAGCTGAACATTTATTAAAAAACTAGCTGTCACTGCAGCTTGTCAGCTATGGCCCAGCAGTTCTCTGCATTAAATACTACATGAAGCATGAAAACACGCTCACACTGACAAGCTGCTGCTGTTTAGCATTCATAATGTTTGGAATGTTATGGCTGTTTGTTTTGCACATTAACATTTGCTGAAATGTTCATATAAAAAGTCAGATCATTAAAAGGGCATGACAGTGTGGCTGGAGCTTTATTAGATGCCCAGAGACACTGGCTGTAGATAGAGTCGCAGCTACTGTATCTTAATAACTAATTACCAATGATAACTGGTTAACCATTGTTAATCAACAGTTAAACAGAAAATATTTGATCACATTATAAATGATAAAGAGGGGGAGGAGTTTTCCCTGTCAAGGCTCTGTTTTCAGACTTTGTATACTAAAGAATCTTGACCGACTAAACCTGACTGTAGCTGTTTCAGTCTGTTGAGTTCACCTGGTGGTACGACGACTGGGGTTTAATAAAGCCTAAATACTAAAATGCTTTTGGAAAGTGGATGTAGGTAAGATATGGCCGCATTTAGTTTGGAACAGCTGTAATGTTGGCAGTAAAACAATTTTAGAAATTTTTCCAGAACTAGCTTTAGCCACAATGATGGAATCAACAAATTAAGTGGAGAGGAAAAGTATAGTAGGCCTTTTTGGTACAAATGTGACAACTGGACATCTTTTCTTTCATGAAAACAGGCTAAACAAATTACATGACAGACAGGAGAATGCACAAAATCAGTTATTGTGAGAACGTGTGAGAGTGGGCAGTAATGGTCAGGGAAATCTAAGGGGAATGTGTAGGAGGGGAATTCGGCAAGCAGTCTCACCTAAGGTTTTATTAGATATGAAACTGTTTATCCTACAAACCTGCAATCTGAGCCACAGCTGTAAAGATGCTTACCTAGTCACTGTTTCTAAATTACGGATCAGCAGTTGGCTAACACTGCATTAAACAGTCACAACTGATCCAATATAGCATCAACTTACAATTCTAATACTTAAGTGTTAACATTAACAGAGAGTTTTCAACAAGTTGAATATTTTAGGGACATTCCATTGAAATTCCATTTCACAGTTGTTGGGACACAGCGTATCAGGTTGGTCAAAATCAGAAGCATCTGGCTGAACAGGGTAATAAGACAATGTTTGTTCATGATTATCATTTTAACCTTTATTCTCACCTCTTTGAGCACAAGGGCACAGTTTCCAGGGCCGATGAATTGGGGCAGTTCAGCAATGCGCCCCTTATTAAGGTAAGGGCCGGAGAAGCAGCGGTGGTTGAAGTAGATTTTGGGACAGTAGTATTTTCCATTTCCCGGGCCTGCACCTGTTTACCAAAAAACAAAAAGTCAAACATACATGATGCAGCAGCCTTGGACTGACCGAACAAACACAGTTAAGGATCCTGAGGTCCACTCACCAATCTCAGACTGGTTTGCAATCTGCTGTTTGACTGCATCAGGTGATGAGGACTTAGGTGGAGTCCTGCTGGAAAGTGATGAAAAACTATTGAAACACTGAAAATCTTCAAACCCCCCCTTCCCCCACTCGCCCATGCACACACACACACACACAAACTTACTGCTTCTCTGGCTGCACAACAGCGATTTTTCTTTCTTTCTCAACTGCAAAACAAGGAGAAAGACTAATTTATGCCCAGTTCCAATATAAATCAGATTGCCTCATTGAAGAAGCCAGGTAAAGATCTCATGTGTCTCCTGTGATGACTCATGTTGCATACCTAAAGGCTTGATGGGGTGGACCAGCGGGTAACCATTTGTCTCACACCAGCTGACAGGAAAGATGTCGAGGGAGTCCACATGAACTATCAGCTCTGGCATTGGCTGCTTTAGACCTACAAAAAGAAATGCACACGTTTACTTAACAATCATGGCTTGACTTTATTAAAAGACTGACATTGCTCTGAGACAGAAATATGCATGCAAAACATTACAGCAAAAGTCCTTTTTTGCTTTGCATGGTTTTAAAAACTTCTCATATTGACATGCAGTTTGTGCTCTCATAACTAGTGTTTGGAGCCGATTACTTCATCCTTGAGGCGGCAGATATTGTTTTCACACCAATTCTGACAAATAAAAGCCAGAATTAAAAAAAGATTCTACCAGGTTATTTCTCTATAACATGTACAGAAATCAGACTTGGTAATGTTTATGTGTTTGCATTGGCTAATCACATTCCTTCATTGCCCCAACTCACCTTCCAGGCTGAGCCAAATGTATTGCCCTTTAACCCGGGTGACTGTGGCCACGTGAATGTTCTCAGGTGACAGCGGGTTGACGGCCTCTAGTTTCATTGCCTCTTTGAAGCTGTGCTCGCACTGGCCCTGGAAGGTAAACACAAGAGGCTGTTTTTAAGTGGAGGGTGCCAGTGTGTTGTGTAAAATTTATCTCTCCACAAACACAACATAATCAGTCTGGTAAAAGTCACCATGGGTCACCTGTTTAAAACCCCATTACACTCTCAAGACATGTTTTCATTACTTTGCTGTCCGTCATATGGATGCAATCTGATTTGCCACTTTTAGTTATTTATGATGAACAACGTGCTGGGAAAACACTTCTGTTATGGACACCTAAATCTATGCAATATATTCTGTCAATAAGAGAGGCACAAAAGTTAAAATAGAACTAAACATGCCATCTGGTAGTACTTCTCGCATGTCTGTAGTGGTAAACTAAACTAAAACAAAGAGAGAGAAATATGGCCCTGTGATGGACTAGTTTCCCATCCAGTGCGTTTGCTGGTTCCTGCTCAATGGCAGCTTGGATAGGCTCCAACACCTTTGCGACCCTGAACTGGATTACACGGGTGCAGGAAATGAATACATTGATGGAAATTAAGCCCAAAAGGAGGCTGACTTACACTTGGGAAACAATGCTGAGGAGCAGCCTCAGCCTCACACTGTTTCAGGTAATCTGCCCAGTCAAAATCGGGACCCTGGTGTCCTGTTCAAGATAAAGCAGACACAAAGAAGGAAGTGATGTGAGGACAGACTGGAAGAGAAAAGTTTAACCACATTCATCGGTAACCTCTTAACATTAAGTTGTCATAGACAGATACGTGTGACAGAACATACCTGGAGGGGGGCTGAGGGGGAGCCCGTTTTTAAGACTCCACTGAGCGGGGAAGATCCCAGGACTGTCTCTGTGACACAGGAAGGACCGGCCGGCACCATCTGACTCTTCAATACCGCAAAGGTCATCCATTGTCACCCAGAAATATTTCTCATTGAAAACCTGAAGTACACCGAAGATCAATTTAAAACACTTTGAAAGTGTCAACGGAAACAGTAAAAGCTATTCATGCTGAACATAGGGGAGATCTCCTGAGATGTGTGGCAAAAGCAAACATTTACAAATTGATTTGTTTGTATCAATTTTCAACACTGTGGAAAAAAACTACAATTTGAATAAGAACACAGTAAACAAGAGAGAGACATTGCAGAGTGGGAGAACCAGATACAAAAGAAAGTCTGTTACCTTGGTGACAGTAGCAGGCTTGATGGAAATAGGTGCAGTAGGGTCAACAGCCTCTAGTTTCATCCCTTCCTTGAAACAATGAGCAGCGATGACAGGCTGATCCTATTAAACAGCCAATACAAATGCACTAGAAGTCAGACTATAAAGCCAAGCTCTCTTTACATGATATTTGATTCCTCCTGGTTCTCCAAACTGATGACGGCAGAGTGCTGCAGGTATGGCCCTGACTTCTTATAAGTACATCACAAATTAAAAATGAAATTTTTTACTGTTTAATTCAAGAGATCTCATATCAACGCTTCCTTTATTCTGTGTCAAAATGCTATCTTGAACCATGAAAGATGTGCTCATGTCAGAAAGAACAAATGTAAGCAGTGCTGGCAGTACCTTTGTAAACTCTGCAGTAAGAGCTTCATCCTGAGGAAGGTCACTTATTCTCTGCCTCACCTCTTCCCACTCCTCCTCAGTCCGCAGTGCTAATAGGTCTGAAGCAAACAAATACATACAAATTAGCTGTTAAAGAGCAACACCTGACTTTCTGACCACACACAAGAAAACATACTTTTTTTTTTTTTAAACAAAAGGTACATTAGCATTAAAAACACTGTATAAAACCAGCGTGGTTTTAGTCTGCACTAGATAATTCACATGTCTGGATAGAGCCATGAGCCTTTCAGAAGTGTTCCTTGTATTTTGCATATGAACATGATTTCATTTACAGATTGTGGTCCTGAGAGAACGATCTCCTTAGTCTCTAGAATAAAACTAATTTCAAAGTCTTGTGGGACTGCTTTTGAATTGTGATCTTTTGTATCTTGTAAGGAGAAAAATAACTCTTTTAAGGGTAGCTTGAAAAGTTCAGTCAAAGTTCTAACTGTACCCTAATTCCTTTGTTACACCTACAGTATATTAATCTCAGCACTCCCCACCATCAGTTAGAACTGAAGAAGCCTCTAAGATGAGAGGCGAAACGTCTTCTTGAAAACTTCACATCCAGTTGCTTAAACTGAACTTTTCAAGCTTGACCATGGCCTGGATGAATGAGAATCTTCACAGATATCTTGTAAGGGTAAAAAAAAAATTCTGATAATAGATGGCAATCAAACATTTTACTTTACTCTTGTTTTCTAAGTGTCTCTCCGTCTTGACTGATGCCATGATCCACCTTCTTTTTTGTTTTTCCCCCCCTGAATACAAATCTTGGACTGTCAGTGCAACTGACCTGAAGGAGGTCGCAGAGTGTAGCCGTGCTCTTTGGCCCAGCCAGGTGGGTGTAGGCGTGGGTGAAGATAAAAGAGCCAAAGGGTTGAGGGTGTGTCCGGGAGGCCTTCGGTACCCACCAGGCGCAGCTTCAGCCTTCCTCCTACATTTTCTTCCACCTCAGCAGCCCAGGCCAGACCCGGGTCGACTCTGTCCTGGAGTTCCACATAGCATCCTGAGCACAGGAGCTCCACTGGGTCTCTGCCACGCTGGGGCTGAGGGGGTTGTGGAAGGTTGTAAATGATGAGTGAACAGCAGGCGCATACAAACACAAGCACACACTCACTCCGACAAATGCATGTGGTCGCACGCCTCAGAAAGAGGAGGAATTTCTATTGGAGAGAATGCACTGCATGACTAAGAGGCAGAACTGGAGCAGATAGGCTGAAAGCTAACTAATAATTTTGAAGAATTTCACAAGTTGTTCTTAGTCAATTTGCTTTCAGCACCAAAACCTTGACGGTGTAAACAAATGCTTGAAGCCCTGTGATATATACAGCTCGTGTCAAGTGCAAATGTCTGAAAACCTATTTTAGTTCAGATTAAAACAGATTTTAAAGGACATTTTTAGCTTGATGAGCATTCTTAATTTTTTTTTTATGTTAATCTTACATCAATAAGTGTGTTAATACTCATATGAGCACAATCAAAACTGAAACTTTTAGAACATTAAAACAAACAAAACATTTTTTGCAGATGTATATACTCTGCAGAAATTCTGATTCCCTTTCATCGACATGGTGTTTTCTTTTGTCATTTATATTTAATGAAATTATCTCCCAATTTAAATTACTCTAAGTAGCCCGATGATAGCAGGGCAACCTTCACAGTTTTATTCACGGCTTTTCCGTGCCTCAAATCAAATCCGAACCGACATAAGGGATTGTTCTTGGCAATGACAGAGACTTCAAAGACTCGAGCGAACGCCACACCCTGAATGAGAGTATCTTCTCAGTTCTGAGACGGACAGCTGCTCCGCTCCCCAGCCTTACCAATTCCAGCAGGCTGGCAGGCGCGCTGCAACCCTCAGCCAAGGCCTTTTCCAACAGAGGCTCCCAGTCTTTATGCTTCTCACGGACACCTGAGGTAGACATAAGCACATCATTTTATGTTTACCGAGGGAGCAAGGCAATTGTTTCACTTTCTTTTTCTCACTCAGCTGCTGCCTTGAACCAAGGCATAAGCTTGGTTCAAGGAACCAAGAAAAAACAGAAGTTCATCAAAAGGATTTTTTTTTTAAATAAATCAAGAACACTGGGTTCTCTTTTGTGTTGTGATAAAAATACAGCAGGTAATAAAAGGTGCCAATTAGGTCACTCCTCTTTCAAAACTACATTTAAAAAATATGCTTCAGCAGTTAGCCGTCTCTGTTCAGACAAAACTGCCTTTCATGAACATGAAAGCTCAGAAGGACAAATGAGTGTTTCACTAATTGGCCACAGCAACAGCCTCAAACTTAACTGAAATACACAACAGTGCAACTCTCAGTCGAGTTCCTACAGATACACTGTGAATAAAACTAGGATGAACTCTTAAGCCTTGAGTTTGGCCTTTCAATACCACTATAGCAGTTCATGCGAAAAAAGCCATTTTTTTTGTCTTTAAAATCTGCAGGAGCCAGCCCACAGTGGCCATCACGGGGGTTGAAATTGGAGCTTTCTGGATATTCTGTACATTTTACTGCAGATGCTCCTGTCTCTGCTATGTTTTGAACATTAAATTGGATTGTCGATCCTAACGTGAGCAAGATCCAAAAAACAAGCAAATAAGACAAAGTAAAATGTATAAAATGCAACTGCATGGCAGCATAAAACTGCAGACAGTGTTGGGAAATTACTGTAAAAGTATTAGGAAATTATCATAATTTCTTTACTTTGAAAAAATAAAACAAAACTGACATTCATTTCACCACAATGCTGGCTTTTTGAGGAGAACATCTTCAATTGTGGACTCCCTTTAGTCAATTAGTCAAACCAAACAAAATCTATGCAAGCAAAACGGTGTAAAATAGTGAATATGATCGATCATTTCTTACAAAATGGCAAAAGATGACTGGCAAAAATCTATTAATTGATATGGAAGGTTGATATCTGGACAATTCTTTGGCTGACCCACTGTGAATCATCAATGTTTTTTTTGTTTTTTTTATCATCTGCCTGTTTCACCACAAATCCAATGATTTAAAACCAAAAAAAAAAGGGAAAAAAAGAAAGCATAAAAACGAGCGCCAACCCTGGAAACCCCTTACCATCAGGAGGCCTCATGGCTTTGCCGTGTTGCCGGCTCCAGCACAGAGGGTGGAGGTCTGCTGTCATGATGTCACACCAGAAGTCTGCACGGCGGTCGTCCTGGTATCCCTCATAGCGGAGCAGCAGCAGCTGGCCACAGGTGGTGATGATGTTGGCCACCCAGTAAGTTTCTGAGCTCAGACATACCTCCAGCTTCATCCCGGGGGTCAGCCCCGTCTGCAGACCCTGGTCCACCTGAGGAAGAAGTCAAGACATTTACTCCTCTGGATTTTACGCCCAAAAAAAAAGTAGTAATGTGTGTTATGTTGAAACTGGTGGCATTTCAGTGACTGCATGCTCATGTCTGAATCATAATTGAGATATTCTAAGTTGTTATTGTATATGTGTTGTACACATTTGAGGAAAATGATCATTTTATGCATAATTTGAAGCTCAAATAGAATGTTACACAGAGCCTTTGTATAGCTAAGCTTATTCAGAGAAGTGTGGCACATAAGGAATACCCCCCCCCCCATTCCCATATCGCTATTGTTTCCTACAAAGAAAAAGAAAAAGAAAGCACCACACCACCCTCAGTATCTTTCTGGTGTAGAGAAAAAGTTACGAGTTACAAGCTGACAAAGTCCAAACCCTGGAATATTCATAGTAATAAAGATGTGATGAAAACAGAAATAACCTGCATTCTGTCACACAGGTGGCAGCTGAGCTAAGAGACACTCTGCAGGGAGAAAAGTATCCCTGAATGATCTACTTTGGCACTGCTAACCACCTGAAATGAGTCCTACTTTAAAACGTTCCCTAATAAAGCCTAAAAAACAATAAGAAAATTGGGTTGCTTCAAATGGATCGGGTCACGCAGCGACCTCTCCCTGCACTAGAGCTGTCAGACGCTGCTGCCTCAGAGCCATTTCTTGGTGAACCGGCAGCAGAACACTTCCCAGCCCCCTGACAGTGATTTTGTGCAAGAAAAATGTGGACACCAGCCCCTTTGCTGTCAAGGTTGTAACCCACGTGTTTGAAGGCATGATGGGGCACAGACACAGCTCCAGTCTCCTCCAGATAGTCATCCCAGCTAAAGTCAGCCACATCCTGGGCACAATCTCCATCTGAAACACACACGTGCATTTTTCTTTTCCAACTTGCTCTCAAACATTTAATCTCACTCACTGCACACAGCTGCTCACAGGGTTGTTCTTACCAGACTCCAGTGTCTCCTGGCTCATGCTGGTGCCCTCTCAAGGCCAAGATTTGGAGCTCTGTGAGGAAAGAGAGGAGGGGGATTACTAGATACAACAAAAAAAGAGTGAGTGAGCACTGGTGCAAAAGTCTGATGAGAAATGTAACTGAAAAAGTCTGCAATTAACCACCCCCCACTCTGTCGTCTTTAGTCCAGTATTGCTGGGTTTGTCCTTAATTAAATGAACGCTTGTAGATCGACTTATTTTCAACTGTTACAAGATGTGTCTTGTATTAGTGCAGCCTTCTGTCACTACACAAGCCAGACTGCATCTGCAAAGAGTCAAACAATGCCCTGGAAACGGTGATCAAGGCTTCCTCCAGCTGGGTGTCATTATGTCTACATACTTTACAGTTGCTGACATAATCGAAACCAAGACACTAATGATAAGACAGAAACATTACAACTGCTGGTTGGAAATTCAGACTCATGACAAAAAAAAAAAACAGTGGTCATTTTCAAACTGTGCTTCAAAGCCAAAAGTTCATTTGCAACTCTTTGAATCCCCCAAATGTTGGGAAATCAAAGACTGCTGGGTGCTGATAACAGCGCTGCAAAATCTTTCATGAAGTTGTTACATTAATATTCAAAAAGCTTCTATCGGGTGTTGGACTTTGCACCTAAGTAGCACTCCAGATGGTATGCGATAGCTGGAAAATATATGGAGCTCTGCTAATCCCACACAGCCTCACTTCTTCTCGTTTGAGCTCATCTTTTTAAACGACTAATCGTATGCCTGTCCCAGCGCCGGTGTGAAGATTCGAGCGGGGCCTTGACGTGAATGTGGACGCACACATCAAGCTCTGACACATGGAACTGACCCACGGCATTGTGAGGAGCCGATGAAATAAGTTAATGCAACAAGAGAGGTGGCATGAATGCCGAAGACGGAGCGCTGGGCGTGACAACGGTGGCCGGCGCGTTGTATGGGATGCTGAGGGCGGCTGCTCTCTCGGTGCAGTCCCATTCACCCGGCCTGTCAGGCTCGTCTTTGTCACATCTGATGTCTCTATTAAAACAAGTGCCGCCGTCAGAGGCCACCCCCCTCCTGACCACCGGACTGCCACTGCGACCCCCGTGCTCCGCCGGGATCAGCTCCGCCTTTCACCCGCGACCCCGCACCAGACTCTCTCTGTCTTTCTCCCCCTTTCTGCAGCACTGAGACACACAAACCCGAGGGCCTCATTGTCCTGAAAGGGGGTGAGGGGGGTTAGGGGAGTTGGGGGGGGTGCCGTTCTGACATGAGAGAGGGGAAGGGGAGCAGGGAAGAAAAGAGTAGAAATACAGAGCTTAAGTTCAAAAGCTACAATCTAACTGATTCCGCTGGGCTTCAACTTAAAGTAATTCATGGAGGATCTTTATATCAATTAATACAAAGGTTTTGGTACTTTTAGAAAACTACAAACTCTGGGAAATTTCTTTTAACCGGCTCTCGATGCCTCATCTCTGTAATCGAGAGAGGTTTGATGTGTGAATCAGTCATGCTCAAATATAGCAAACCTTCTCTAAGTGCCACCTTAACTGAGCTTTATTCCGAGTAAAGCTCACATAGTTAGCTTTTGCTTAGTAGACGATTGCAGAGAACAAGGCAGTTCTGGCACACAGGAAGAAAAGCAACTTCCCCTATTTCACGTGCAGTCAATGGTTGCTGCAGACCACAGTTAGTGGCAACAGAGAAAGGGCCAAAACGTGCACAAACCTACGCCAAAGTGTACAGGCAACAAACAAGCACTCACAGACGGCTGAGATCCGTGATACATCCTCTCTGCGAGCACTTACCGAATCATATTCACATCAGCACTTAGCATGCTGTCAAGCTTTCTTGTAAAAAAGCCTTTCTGGTGGTACAATCAGATGACAGGTACATTTCCCCAAACACTACCTAATGCTGCTGTAGTTCACCAGCGGATGACTTTGAAATATTAGCAGTAAGGTAGCAGAAAATGGAGAGGAAACTAGTATGTTGTCTTGTTTGGGTGCTGCACCTATTATTTACCAACACTCGTATTACTATCACATCATGTAAAGGCAAATATACAACATATAAGTCTGCATAGTTAGTTTACAGATTTGTTGTGTTATAATTGAATGTTTTGTTACATGCATCCATCAATTTTCTGAACCGCATCTCCTGGTTTGTTACAGTGTAAAGTATTTACATTTGTCTTGCTGTCACCTTTCACATGCACTCGCCTCACTACTATCCACTGTGCTTTCAAATGATGTGTTCTAATACAGCTGAATCCCCATTTACATGCCTTTCTGATTCTGTTATCAGTCAACAGAGCGAGCCGAAAGCGTGACTTAGATGTAGTTCATAAAAGACTTTGAGCAAACCAGTGGAATTCATAGCGGCTAAGGCAAGTTCATCATAGACAAGAACTGTGCTTTGATTTCTGGTGTATTTATATATCAAAACAGTCACACAGTGAAGTCATGTGCAGCTCGTTGCAACGCAGTCTGCTGATCGTTTTGCCACTACTGACTGGGCAAGGCACACAGAAAAAGCAGATAAGGAAAAGGCAGCTCTTTTTGCACCCAACACTTCAGCTGAGACTTTCCTTTTTAAACAGAAAGTAGCTACAGTTAGAACAAAACGTGACCAGATTAATTCCCCGGTGCCTTTTCTAGTTAAGTGAGAGAGAGACAGATTGCAGCTTGGTGGGTTTGCCAGCAGGCACAGAGGCTGAGGGAGGGCGGAGTCGAGTAAAACGGGGAGAGACACTTGAAGGTTTCAGTAGTGTTGTGTATCAGCTTTACATCAGTACCACAAAAGGCATTTGGAGGAATTACACAGGATTTTTGGTGCAACTTGCTGGCGTATGTGGACCATTAAGTCCCTTAGCTTTACAATGCTGTGGAAAACACAACAAACTCAGTGAACAAACATGTTTCTTTTTTTGTTTATTTATATTTTGTGACCCACGTTTAGTCCTCCATGTGATGAAATGTATTTTTATATGCTCACATTCAGCTCAAGCTAGCTTCAAACTTGTTGGTAAAGTGCTCATATCTAGCTTAATCTTTGAGAACTATGTGTTGTTAACTTTTTGCAAATCTACTTGCAAGCCAGTCTGTACCGGTTGGTAGCCGACAACAGGCAAGAGGCACCCTGGACAGGCTGCCAGTCCATCACAGGGCCACACAGAGACAAACAACCACACACACTCACTCCTAGGGACAATTTAGAGTGTCCAATTAAGCTAACTTGCATCTTTTTGGACAGGGGCAGGAAGCTGAAGTACCCAAAGAGAACCCACGCAGACACAGGGAGAACATGCAAACTCCACACCAAAAGGTCCTGGTTCCCCAGGAATTCAAACCGGGAACCTTCTTGTTGTAAAGCCACGGTGCTAACTGCCACGCCACTGTGTGACTGGATACATAGAGAAGACAACACAAAACAACACAAAAATATTCATAGGAAATCTTGACCAAAATATTTTCAGATAACCAAATAAATAAATACATACATACATAAATAAATAAATAAAATAGCAATACAGGCCAATGGGCCAATAGCAATACATGTAATCGCAACATAACTAAATTAGTACATCACACAAATAACAGCAACGCTTTTAAGACATGAATGCAGCAAGATGCCACCATCTAAAGAAGCCCCCTTAGCCTGAACTAGAACAGTAATATAAGAGTACTATTGTGTTACAATGACTTAACCACTGTTCAAAAATATCTTACTTCCCCCTTTATATCACTAGAGCAGTCACAGCACTCACCTGCTTTTGTGTTTGCTGCCCTGAAACCAGTCTCTGACGGTTAAGAGGGTTAAGTAATCTCCTCAGATCTACCAAAGCTATAAATTAGGAGCAGTCGAACCCCTCTACAAGTTTCCCCATTTATGAAGAGTTTGATTCCTTCCAAACTGACAGTGAAATATTTTTAAAGTTTTGTTTTCACGAAATCTTAGTATAATATAAAATATTACAACAGTAGTTACCTAAAAGTTTGAGTGGCTGTGGTGCTTTGTATACACTGCCAGGCATTTACAAAAACGTATTTGCTTCTCACTACAACTTCTATACCTTAAATTACGTAAAACGTGAAGTGAAATTGGTTATGAGGCGCTTTCAAACTAGTCAAAGTTCAGCCTTTCGTCCATCTATAGTGATTCTACTATTGTAACTTTTTCATTTAGTGCAAAGGAAGAACAAAAAAATAAAACTATAAAAACTAAGTCAACATGTCAAAACACACCAACCTAAATGAGTCTTGCAGAACACAATTGTATGTTAGATCCAATTAAACTTGAATGGGAGAGTGAAATCTGTTGGATTAGTCCATCACTTCTATTTTTCTGGACCTAGGCAGAAAATCTTTGTCATTTTTAAATGACTTTTGAGGCTATGGACATCCCACACCCCACCTCTTGCAGGAAGATGATCCCTTTTTTGGGGTAAACGGTGGCACTGGTTTTCACTGATGGTGACAGCCTCCCATTGCAAGATGGTCAAAGAAGGTAGAGTCTGTTTAAATGCTGTGCGATTATTGGATATTTTAGTCTCAATATGACCAATCGTCGGTTTCTGAGACAACCTGTACCTCACATTTTTTAAAGTGAGGTAGAAAAAATCCCTACCAACATTGTCGTGAATCATAAGGTTGCTGACAACAACAACAAAATATTTTTTTTCCAGAAAAGAAAAGGAAAAACAGGTGATCGGTCCACTCGAAATTGCCCTGGCGAGGGACGGCGACCCTCCACGCGTGTCAAACCCGTCGCAACTTCAAAAAACGGAGCACTGACAAAGAATGCACATTTACCCTCCACAAAGCCCTGATGAATTACAGACATTTTTTTCTCCCCCGAACTGCTCCGTGCACTTGCAGCAGAATGCTGCTCCTTTTTGCCCTGCTGCGTAGCGGCACGTCACCCGGAGCCGCGCGCCGGATCGCTCAAGTTGCACAATATAGGGAAGTTAGGGGGCCAGAAGAATATTCCACCGCATCGAGTCAGCGTGGGGCTTTGACAACAGTCCGACCGTTGGTTGAGGAGCAGCTCCCCGTTCATCGGCGTTTCACAGACGGACAAACGTGCGTGAGTTTGCGGCGTTCAATGCCGATTCGCTTCCACAGAAAAAAAAACAAATCGGATGAGATTCGTGCAACCTTCATTATGTAAGACTCCCGAGATCCCCCCAAAAATATTCAGGAGTTTCCACAAGGCCAAAATAACAGCACATTTCCACGCAATCCTTTTGGAAACGTACCCAGCTCAAGGTTGCGTTGCTGGTATCAGACGTACCGCAGCGTTTCGGGGGCAGAGATGGGCCATGAATGGCTTTGCAGCGCTGGCGGTACTAACTTTCCCACTGAGCACACAACATGACACATACCGATTCAAAGAGCTGCCAATTGAATAAAAAAAAAAATCCCACCCGAGGCGCATAACGGCCGCGGTGGACTCTTTGGACACATGGTAAGAACGCCCGTGTCCGAGTCAAGTTACTGAACGTCACGGCTTGAGCAATAGAAGCAGGCTCGCGAGCAATAAGGGCGCTTACACTCGACCGAACCCGACTCATCTTTTTGAGAGACGGGAAAAAAGGCGAATGAGCCCCCACTGCGCGAAACTCCGCGCGGAATTTGTGACAAACAACACAGAGCACGTGAATATTTAGTCGCAAAATTCGCTCCTTACCGCTAAGTAGTTTTTCCAAGTCGGTTTTTTAGATGCCGTTCCTCTCCGCCTGCTCGCTCGCAGCAATGTTAAACGAACGTGAATAAAAAGTCGGAGCCCCGGTTGAAGGCTTCACAATAAGATGTTAAAGCGGCCACAGCCGTCGCCGGAACAACGAGCGGGACTTTTAGTGTTCGGGGGTGAAACGGCCCTGCTTCCGGAGTAGCTTCTGCGGCGTCTCGTTAGCTTGCCGCACTTCTCGTTCACGACCTCATTCCAATATGGCACAAGTGGCCACTGCGCATGCTCAGCCGCCTATATGCCTCTGAGCCTGGCTTCATCATCATACCGACTTCCATCTTCACTCACACAATAAAACATCACACAGCCGGAGTCAAGACTCAAATTTTATGACACACACACAAAAGAAAAGAGAAATGCCGTCCATTTCCCGCTCGCTTTAATTCGTTGAAAGGGGGTGGGGGGGAAGGGGGGGGGGGGGGGGAGGAACGATCGTTACCCCCAACGGTATCATGACTTAGTTAAATGTTGATGGCTTAGCTGGAATTAATTGCTCATTTGCTCGACCCAATTTCGATAAGTGTTGTTTTGCTTGCCTCAGAAATCATTGCACACTGTGAGGAAGCTGACAATGCAATGTGTTGCCCATAACCTACAGTTTATTTCCTTTTAGAATATTATACATATATTTTTTTTATATACAGTATTTATTTGTGAGTGTGCCTAAAATGTAGGGAAGATACCCCTCACCAAAACACTGTTAAGGTGATGTGAGTCCATAGTTTTAAGTCAATTCAAACTGGCCAAGGCTTGAGCGTCGCGAGCGTATTGAGCTTCGCTGCCATTGCACGGTGATACTCAGCTGCACAGGGATGTCAAGTCTGCTTTTTACGGGAGAGGGCGGGAGAAACTGCTGGAACCTGCTTAAACAGTGTGAGCGCGATGCTAAAAGTCCATTAATTTGATATCGCATACGCACTTCTCGACTTCGGCTGCCTTTTCTTACGGGGTTTTGGGCTCAAGCCCAAGTCAGAATCGCATTTGTTCGGTGGCATGAACCGCATAAAGGCTACTGCAGCACATAATCCCCCACAATAGACCAAGCCTTCGAATACCTTGACGACAAAAGAACAGATTAAAAAAAAAACAGGGCGTTCATTTGCATACGCTCAGGTGGTTAAAAAAAAACCCAAACCATTACATACATAGAAGCTTGACTCGTATTAACTCAATGAATAATCAGTCACTGAGCTATTAATAAATCCACTGAAAGCAGGCACTTATTCACACGTTTTCTTTTTTCATATATCAAAGCCTTCGAAATACTTGACGAAATAAATATTAATTGAATTTCAAAGTGAATTACGCATAATCCTGGCCATTAGTCATTATTTGCATTTCTTAAAAATAGTCTTCAACTTCTATAGTGGGGACGTTCAGGTGGTAAGAAACATCTTAAAAACAGAGCAGTTTATTCTGTTATGGAGCTTCTTTTTGTCTTACAGCACACAGTGAGACAGGACACGGGACACAGAACAGATTACAAAGCTGGCGCGTGGCGATAACGTCTCTCCAGAAGACGGGGGGGTGCATTCCAACACCTGGCCGCTAGGTGGAGCTAAAGTGTCGCGCATATTAAACTGGCAGACGATCCCTACTGTAGTTTTTGTTGATCGTTTGCCCTTCCTTAAGACGTCTAATAAATACAAATAAAAAGCGAAATAAATTGATACAATCACGTGAGGAATCCCCGAAAACACGCAGTGCCTGTCAGAACACAGCATGATATTAGAGTAGCTATATTAATTGTGATACAAACAAGAATGCATCCATTGTTTCTGATGTTCTCCATGCCACGCTTGGTCTTCAACTAATTCATCACAATGGCAAACACTGGATTTTTAGTTCATAATGCATTTATTCCGAATCAAATGTAAAAGATAAAGTAAAAAAAGGCCCACAACTCACGTAAAAGCTAAAGATCACATACAAATTCTTATTCTGAATACACCTCTATTTGTGTTAAAATCCCAACATTCAATTATTAATAACATACTTAAAACCATATATTAAAGATTTACTCTTACACTGAAACCCCCCACCTTTCACATATATAATATCCTTCAATGTATACAGACGTACAGGTGCAGCACAAACACAGGATGCTCTTCTTTTTGGTCTGAAAAGAATCTTCATAAATCACGTTAGGGCATTGTTCCATATTTTCAACGGACATACAGAATAATGTTCGACACTGGCGAGGCACAAAAGAAAAATATATATTCTCATTAAAATCTTTAAGAAATCGATGATCATCTATTAAGGTATATGAAACTGAGGAAGGATTTTTCATTTAAAAGTTCTACAATATGTAGAAGAAATCAATTAAACTCTTAAACCACAGTACCGAATAATTCTTTCAATCAAGGCTGGACCAAGTGAATACTCATTCATTAATAGACAATTTACTGGCTACAGTAGCTCCACTGACATCAACACGTTATGTGCACATAATTGCATACATGCGTTGTCACACAGTGCACACAGATATGCATACCGACAGGACAAAGCACATGGTGAGTGCATTCAGTATGTATCATTTAACTTTTGTGCTTGCATATGATATACGGTGGGTGATTTGTATAGATCCAAAGTGTGCATGTGTCAATATTAGCTGAAAAATCACAAAATGCATCAAGAATAATGACAATGCTTTAACAGTCTCCCTTACATTCCTGAAGCTGAGACAGGGTTGTTCTTTAGATACCACAAACATCTTTGTATAATTTTACTGTATCCTCTTAGAGAGAAAGAGTAAAAATAAATCTGATTCATGATAAATTAACCCCAGACTAATTAAAGATAAAGTAAAAGAAAAAAAAGTTTTTTTTGCAGTGCTTTTTCAGTGGCTCAACAGGTGCTGCAGTTTTGGATTGACAAAAGAAAAGCCATCAAATGCACTCTGGTCTATGGAGTCAACAAGAATTTTGGTAGCTTGGGACAGGCGTGGCTTCTCGTTGAGGAACTCCCGATCAAAGTTGCTGCAGTCACTTGGGGATTTCTGTGGAAGAGATGAGAGAAATCCAGTTAGATTCAAATTATTTACAGTGTTTATGTAAACAGTATCAATGACCCATGCAATCGCTTTTAAGAAAATGTGATTTTGGTACTATGTAGTGGGTAACAAAAAAAACTAAACAGAGGTCATACCACTTTAGGCTTGAATGGGGGGTCAACTTGTCTCTTCTCCAGTTCTGACCAATTGATCGTTTTGAAGAAGGGTTGTGCACGGATGTCGCCCACTACGCCCAACCTGCGAGTGGGCTCTCTCTCAAACAACTGAAAAGATTACAGGACACAACAAGCTTTGTTACAAACACAACCAAACCCCTCTAAGACTATGATACTTCACTAGAGTGCACAGAAAGGGTAATCATTCACCTGTTCCATCAGGCTCTTGGACTCTTTTGTGATCCATCGAGGATAGTGAGGAACATCTGACCTGATGGATTCAAACAACTCATCCTCGTCGTCGCCTTGGAATGGTGACTGACCAATCAGCATCTCATACACTAGCACTCCAAATGACCACCAGTCCACAGAGAATGTGTACTTTTGTCCCAGCAGGATCTACGATGAAAGAATTAATCAAGATCAGATATGTGCAAAGTAAACTACAGTTGTTTTGTGCAATCCTCAGCAAGGGGAGTACCTTACACTAAAGATGCTAAAACAGTTGTTTCCAAGCTTTCTAAGTAAAATAAACAAATAAAATGAGAAACTACGCCTTTAAACAAACCTCAGGTGCGATATAGTCTGGCGTCCCACAGAATGTGGTGGCTCTGTTATCCACAGAGATGTTCTCTTTACACATGCCGAAGTCTGCGATCTTTATGTGTCCATCTTTATCCAGCATCACGTTGTCCAGCTTCAAATCTCTACAGAAGAATCAGAAAGAAATATTGTAGTATATTTAATACGTAGAAGAAAACATGGTAATTATACAGTCCATCATGTTGCAGTGGACGGTGGACGCAGCAGGGCAGTCAAATCACCATACCTGTAGACAACTCCTTTGGAGTGAAGGAACTGCAGTCCCACCACTATCTCAGCAGCATAGAACCTAAACAATTAAACACAGTTTTACTGTCATAAATTGCCCCAGATACTCAGTTGTAGCAATAAATGCGGTTAAATCCCTGAGCATTTTACACTGTATTCCTGTGTACTTACGTGGCCCTGTTGATATCAAAGCGGCCTTTGTCTTGAATGTGAAACATCAAGTCCCCTCCATTCAGGTATTCCATCACAAAGAAGAGGTGCTCCTGTGAAAACAACACATTACTGTCAGCTCACTGTCTGAGATGACACATGGCGTGTGTATGACAGTGAGAATACATTCATGTAAAGCAAGCTGAAAGTGTTGGCTTAAACAAACATCTGGAAACAACAGCCAGCCTGAGTTTATTACCCCATCAGAGAACCTGATCCAGTATATTTTAACAATAGAGATGCACAGTATGTGTGTGCTTACCTTGGACTGGAACGTGGAGTAGAGATGAGTGAGAAATGGGTTCTCCCAGGCGAGAGCCAGGATTCTCTTCTCAACCATGGTGCATTCAACGTCATCATCCATGATCACTACATCCTTCTTCAGAACCTTCACAGCAAAGTACTGCCCCCTTCCCTTCAGCTCTGCCAGCATTACCTTGACAGAGCAGTAATATTAAATCCATGGAATGCATCCTTGCATTATAAAGTCACCATTAGCATTATTGGTGCACCTTAATGGGACCACAATACTAATCTCAGTACATGATTATAATGGAAGCATCTATATTTTTAACAGGCAATGTGCATCCCACAGAACATTCACATGATAAAAAATGAATCTTCCATTTATTGGTATATTCAGGAAAACTCAAGGATAAGACCACAGATCATACCTTGCCAAAGCTGCCTTTTCCCAACACCTTGTGGAAGGTCAGGTGATTCAGGGTGAGGCCTGCACGGGGACCAACTATGGAAGTACTCTCTCGCTTGCTGTTGCCACCAGCTATAAACAAACATTTGTGCACTTTGAGTAAATGAGGATGCAAACTAGAATGCAAAATTCTATGCAAATTCAAAGAATGAAGGATAGGAAGTCAAGAGTATAAAAACCTTAAAAAGACCGTGAAATTAGATAAAACGCAATATAAACCTAGCAGCTTCAGACAACAGATCTTCACTGGACACATCTTACCACTAGGATCTGTTGTTGCATTTTTGATGTCTTGATAGACCCCCACATCTGCGTCATTGGAGTCATCGGCCTTCTTTATAGATTTCTATGGTGAAAAAAAAACAAAGGATAAAACGGATCTGACATTCATTCATTCATTCAAATATTCACAGAGCCCCAAAAGAGCCCACAACTGTACCAACCTGGGAAACTTGAGACAGAGCCTCAGCCAGTAGTTTCTGGTTGATTCCACACAGATTTGCCACTTTTGATTGACAGTAACTATGGACATTCATGGCACAAGCTGCACAGCGCCATGAAAAATACATTGACCAGACAGAGACAGGGAATGCATTGAAAGACAAAAATGTTAGAAGCATGGCAGAAGGTATGAGGAAGGTAAATAAATATAACATTTGCTCCGATCCAAGTGAAAACAGAGAACTTAATAGGTTCACCTTCACATTTAAGACCCTGCTTGTAGAGACCCCACAGCAGACTGCCACAATGATCACAGAATGTGGGGCTCTTGTAGTTGTGGCTCTTGAAGCGATGTGGCATATCAATCTTGAAACGCTCCTTCTGGAACTACAAACACAAGAGAATCCATTTAATCCAACGAGTAATTTTATTTGCTCATGTAAACAATAGCTTAAGTGAAATTTAGACAGAATCTTTTGATATGTAATCCAATGGAAGCATAATTTTCGACTGTGGATAATTCAGAAAGTAAAGAATACAGGGGAATATACAAAGTCATTTTTAAATGACAGCTAGACAATCAATAGCAACTATAGCCAGCATTTGACAAAAAAAAAAAAAACGGCCTTCATACTTTCCATGCTGGAAAATAATATCTTTGCTCACCATAGTGTCTCGACTGTTGGCTGCAGTTCCAGTGCATCTGCCAATTATTTTTTCTATGCATTTCTTGTGGATTGCTGCGTTGCATTCTGGGTGAAGTAAATGGTGACATGTTACGTTAACTGTGATCTGAAGGTCCAGCAAAGCTACAAATGTGCAGACTGAACATTTGTTTTAAAAAACATAATGAAAAATGAAGCAAAAATCCGAACAACTCACGTCTGCACTTGTATCCTTGCTTGTTGAGTCCCCTTGAAGAGAGAAAATATAGAAGGAATGCTCTTTTGAGTAATTAAAAAAAACGTGACATTTTTATCATCGAGATACATTCCTGTACAAAAGTGAGCTTTATGTATTCACATTCATCTTTATACTTAACTTAGGCAGTTAGAATATTCACTCTTGTGGACAGGCTTAAGAACACATCAAATTTCCCTTCAATTCAATCTCAAAGGGTACATACACACGCAGTAGTTTGTAAAAAAGAGAAGAACTTGGCTCTCAGACCGTTTCTGCTCCCACAGTTAGTATATAACAGAACAGCTTAGTAGGATTTTCTTTTACAGTGAGTCAGTCTAACAATGGTTCTCCTGCACTTGTTTCTTGAGAGGAGAGCTATTTTGCTGCCTGTTGATAAATCATGCCAAAAATGACTGACTAAGACAAATCCTTATAGTTTATCCAGTATATGTAAGACAGGCAAATATACAGAAATCATTTGACATTTAAAAAAAATATATATGTACTTTAAAAAATGTGATATTACAGAAATGGTAGTTGTGTAAAAGGACAGCATCTCACCAGAGGAACTCTTTGCAGACAGAGCAGAAGGTTGGTTGGCCAAAGAAAGTGGCACAGAACTCGTGGGCCTTAATGTTGTGGACCTTTGGCTGCTTGAAAGCTCCTCTCCTCCTGTTGAGAGTCATGGTTCCATCTTCAACGATTGTCTTCACTGACTGCTTCAATGCCACTGAGGGGTATAATCAATTTAAAAATCAATCAAACACATATCTTTTGTTATGTACAGACTGGATAAATGTTTGTTAAATAGCATTACAATGAGGTCTTCTCAACCTTTCAATGATTTCCAGGCATCTATCTTCTTTTTTAATTTTTTTCAACTGAATCGTATCTTTTCATTGCAGACTTCAACATGAATCAGTCCTAAACTGCCCACATTATGAGCCAAGGCAGACTCAGGCATTTATGGTCAGCATTGAAACATCCCCCTCCTTGCCAAAATGGGGGTAGGGGGCGAGGGGAAAGTGTGTGAAAGTCACTCAGAGTAGACAGTAGTGAACAAAGTGTTATAGTAGTAAACAATGAAGACAGAAACAGTGAGAAGATCTGAGGCTACACGGGTGGAGGCGAGGAGAGCCGCCAGTGGACAAAGGGACAAGCAAACAAGGAGTGACCTTAAAGAGACAACTGATGGGTGGGAAAACAAGGAAGACTGATGAGGTGAGGGAGATAAACTAATTTCCTGACTGCTACTCTACAAAGAGATGTTTCTGTTTGGGTTGTGTCTCAGCAAGCCTGGCCAAGGAAATGGAAGAGAGAGAGAGAGACAGAGAGAGAAAGACGGCTAGGGGAGGTAGACTTTGTTTTGGGTTGTTCACTCATGCCTAAAAATACTCTGGGCTGCTTTTCAGAAAACCTGTAGTGTGTAGGAGGGAGCTGATGGCACATGGGCCTCCTCTACAATAGTTATCCCCAATTGTGTTACACCCCCACAGAATTTCCCACTGCAAACAAATAACGAATAAAAGGTTTTTAATCAATCCCCATAGCCTGCTCCGTTTCAGCTTCTGTGCTGCCATTCAGTTTCAGTCTCAGAGAGACTTCCCTGTCTGAGCCATTACGCTGCTGTCTGAATTGTCAGCCAACGTTGCTTAACATCTGCTTTTTGTGGCTCAAGTAAAAATGAAGGGTTTTTTGCTTTTTAATAAATTATAGAAATTACGGAAATGTGTTGCCAAATGCGGAACAGTGTGCTATCGAGAAACAGATTAATATAGATTAAAAGAAAACAAAAAAAACAACATGATATATTTTCCTTTCCACAGCTATCCAAGATTTTTCTATTACAAAAGATTTTATGAACTCTATTCAAATCTTAGACAACTCTGTGTTCAACTGCATGAGAAAATAAAGGTACTTAAACTACACCGATGTTTAAGACACAGTATAAAATGTATGGGCTCCACATCCATTAAACACTTATATAGAATATAAATTTACATCGGAATTCAGATGATTACCACAACATATGTTGGAACTAGCTAACAGAAAGCTTCGTGTAAATAATATCAGCTCCACATTCTGGCTTCATCAAAGTTGCCAAACTGTGTCGGAGTTGGAAATCTATGGAACCGGACAGCCTGGTAAGGAAACATTTCAGCCAGTAGAGGGCATTAAACAACAACACAGAGACAGTGGGGCCTAAAGAAAAATGATGGGAGAGGGCCAAGGGGGAGGGGGAGGGTTGTTGGAAAGCCCTACTTGCCTGTGAGTACCACTCCCTGGTGGTCTAGTGGTTAGGATTCGGCGCTCTCACCGCCGCGGCCCGGGTTCGATTCCCGGTCAGGGAACAGAATTTTTGTAAAACCTTTTCATCGTTATTTTAATTCATGGCACTGTTTGCTAGAAAGTTGTGCCATCTAACAAACTTCATGTCAAAGTTGGAGTAACTTTGACTATTGGATAATTGTTATTGACCATTCCCATTTTGGAAAAATGCGCTGTGCTAATGAGAAAAAGGTTTTCTACCACACAGAAAAATTAAAACAAAGGAAATGTGCCGTTTTGTCGCACAAATACCTGCATCACTCTCCTCCAAGAAAAACTGCACAGCCAACTGAATCCTTCCAGAGGGCTGAAGGTCTACCCAGATCTCAGCGCGGGCATTGGTTTTGGACTTCTTACAGCGTTCTGCTAGCACAGAGACACCCACGGTGGCCTTGGCCAAAGGCTCCTCCGTGACCTGCATGAGGACCACCTCTAGGACACGGCCCTCGTGGATATGAGCGTCAAACTGGGACCCCCACGAGGGATACATGGTGGGCTTCTTCTGAACCAAAGTCTTTCCACGCTCTGTAAAAGAAAAATCAAGATGATCACTAAGGAAATGTGACTGCTTTCCCAGTGCAGCCTCCATCTATAGAAGACAGTAAATGTACGTGTATTCTGTACATACCTGTGGTGACAGACTCCTTCATCCTCACAGCACACATGGGAGGTTCAGTCAGTGGTGGCAGGGCACCCACATCGTAAGTAGTGAGGGCAATACGCAGGAAGGGTGCCATGGTGACCACTCACCAGGGCCTCCTAACAAAAAGAAAAAACAGTGACAGTTAAGATTAAAAACACACACACACATAAACCCCTTGTACTTGCATTGTGCAAGTTTTACACTTGAAACGAGAAGGAAGAGACTTTACATCCGTTAATGACCTCAAATGTAAACTACCGAGGAAGTAGAGATTTACAACTCAGTACGTAAGTTTGGAAACTACCGAAAAAGGAGTTTAACAGATGACTGTGCACCCACAAGCAAAAAATACATTTAAAAACACATTTCCAAAAAGAGCTTCCATTTCAAAGAAGTATTCATCCACAGACTGAGTAAGAGTGCATTACATTGGTCTTTTATAAGAAAACTAAAAATCAGATTCCAAATGATGGACATACAAACAGACAACCTGCCCGCTTGGAGTAAGCACCTCCTTGGTTTGGCGAGTCTGAACTGCTTCACAGACAGAATTACTGAGTATTGCTTTCAATGAGCTTTGCACTCTTCCGCTTGAGCCTGGTGGGGTAGTGTTTCCACTGTCCTTCATAGGACAAGCTCAACTGCTGTCAGGTTTTCAGAATGCATTTAGTGATCAGAATTAGTGTTAAATAATTGCAGAGTAAACCACTGTGTTTATAAATGTTTTCCATAGATGTCATTAATGTTTTAGGTGAGTCATCAGAGTCAAATATTTTGCTTCAATGCAAAAACTACATACAACTCTCTTTAACCGACAACATTCTGAAAATGTTGTACTGGCACCTGTTGTGATGTTCAACGCTGCTTTACTCCAAAGCAGCCACACAGATGTTTGTGGCATGACCCAAAGAGCATTATTCCTTGTCCTAATTCCTGGATCATCCACTAAATCCTGTAAAACACCTCCAAGAATTTTCAAACGGTAGAATTTGTGTTTTTTTTCCTTTTAAATCTATACAGCTACACAGCTTTCTTTCAATAATCCAGAGGTTGGTATTTGAGTCGGGAAGTGAATAACAGTGATGTGTCAGTAGCCACCACCAAGGTGTTACTTAAATGGGGGGCATAACTACCAAGTGCTTTAACAGCGAACACATTAAAGCAGACACGGTAAGTCTTAAGTCACTTAAATTCTTAAGATTTTCCAACATGTGATCTTACAGAAATTAACCTAAACAAGGGTCACAGAATATTTAGTGCAACGATAAATTTCCACGTTCAAACATATGTATTTTCTTGTGTACACAAACGTAGACCTTACACAGAAAAGAGGGCCTTGCTTCCCCAGAGAGAGTGGAAAAATGAGCACATGCAATTGGGGAAGGGGTGGGTAGCGGAAAAGGGCATAAGAGAGGGGGAAAAAACACACACACACAAAAAAAAACATTTGCTACCCACAGGAAGGCAGGCTAGAGGACAAAAGGGAATACCAGACTTATTTTTCACAGATGAACAGATGAAAATAGAAAATAATCCATTCAGCTAGGTTAAATGATTCCCTATGATCTTAAATAATTTTGGCATTTGTAGTGGTACAATTTAGAAAAAAAAAAAAGGTTTTACAGCCAACATTTGACACAGCGACTAAGCCTCAGTCTTACGTGCACTGTTCCGCATCTGCATTAAAAACAACAAAGACAGACAAAGAAATGGATGTCTGTCAATGTCATGTTAACTGAGCCTCTCAGAACAAGTCACAGAGTTTTTAGGCAGTGAATAAGTGGAGACATTCTTAAGCGAATACAGTGAACAAGCTGGTCAAACAGGCTAGCAGACTATAATTAGCAGATCTTTAAAGCACACATCATTATAGCAAAGACCATTTCAGAATGTCAACAGAGCACCATGGTTTGAGACTACTGCCCCAATCACATTGGATTCTGCTAGATTATTTCAGTACAGGTAGAAAAGTCAATAAAATGCTTATTCTGAAAACATAGTGAAGTTATTTTTTAATTTGACTGATTTAATTTATCTAATGGTGAGGTGCGATGATTTGAATGTCTTTCACAAGCCGTTTGGCGTGGACAACCTGTGGAACAGATAGTTACTGACAGGGGTCTATGTTTGTCATTGTTTTTGTGCTCCTGGACCTATAACTCTCCAATTCCATTAAGCTGAAGCGTCATTCCCAGACTGAAAAACTGAATGAGACTTTCTGTAATAGAACAATTCAGACAACTGCGTGTCTACAGGTAATAACACATCTATAATAGCATGTGGGTTCCACTCTGGGGTCTCAATTATAAAACAGTGTGTAAAACAACTGAAGATCCTACAGTGGACCAGAACCAGACGAAGAATGAAAAAATATGGCAAAACTAAGAAATCTTTAAGATTGGATGAAACAAAAACAAAAAGAAACCCTCCCTTTTACTGAAGTCTGTATGGCACACAAACCTGTCCTACCAGTTTGTGGCTATTCAACAACTGCTTGAAAAAAAGAACAATGAAAAGAGATGCAATGCATTGCAAATGATACAGAAAAGCCCATGATAAAAGGACCAGATTAGCCAACACACATTACAGCTGAACAAACACTTTACAGGGACATTTTAAACCCTGAACAAGGCAGCTCGAGGCACTTCAGAGCCAATAACCTGGTGAGAGGCTGCGTGTGAGCCTGCCTCACAACACTGCACTCTATGAGAAACATCGACAACAAAAAAGATTCATTAAAAAAAAAAAAAAGTAGTTTAGAAGTATTACTTCCCATATATTAAGTATCTAATCCATCTAAATCTAAGTATTCACACTGAATGATGAGGCATTTTGAAAAACCAGGTCACAATAAAAGAAAGACCTTGAATGCTTAAATTAAGATGTTTTTAATACTCATTTCAATAGAAAAAAATGGAAGTTGCTCAGTCACCATTGTTTGCATAAGTAGCTAAACTTTAAAACGTAGCCAACCACAAATAGCCAACAATAAAATAATAAAATACACTAGGTGTACAAAATAGACCTGATTAAATCATTTGTGCTCAAGATTGTTTAAAATCACCATGCGTTGTGAGCTTGAAAACAGTGGCTGAACATGATTTGACTATTCATTTCTTAATTGCGCTTTTCAGCCTAATTTTCTTTTTACTTTCACAAAAGCTTTCACGAAAAATCTTTCAATCTACCCTAAGGTACGCAACATTGCTCTGTTAACACTGTGTGAAAATCCCATAAGTGTGCTTATGCGCGCACATGAACACACTAATAACCGTGAACAAAGACCCCTTTAATGAATTTTAGTGGAGGCTAAGATGGAGGAATCAAAGCATGCCTTTCTTTTGCTAACCGAGGTTAATATCTAAACAGCCCCTGCCCAAACACTCTCTCTCTCTCTCTCTACAAACATACAGTGACCAGCTGACATTGAAACAAGGAATAAAAGTCACCATGATGGCAAAAGATGTGCGACTAAAAAAAAAAAGAAAAAGAAGGGTCAGGAGTTATCCTACTCTTAACATTGATTTTGTTCAGTTATGCAAGCGTATAATTTCTCAAGTAATTTCCCGCTTCTTCTGAGAAGTGCTGAGTTCTTTGGCACAATGTCAAACCTGCTTTACCATCATGGAAAGAATCCTGCCACTGGGGCATTTCTCTGCATGCATTACAACCAGTATCCATTTCTGCATCACACACAGTTCACAAAAGCTTAAGTTAACTAGACTGAAGAGCATCTGAGTAAAGTGAGGTGAGTGTGTGGGAAGGAAACGCAGAGAGAGGCAAGGCTCCAGGGGCATGCAACGGGCCAAACTGATGATGATTGGGAACAGGAAATTCCTTCTTAGACATTAAAGCTATGAGGAACATAACTTGCAATACGTTTTTTTTTTCTTTTTTTAATTTTTTATGAGCAAGGATTATGTAAGAAGACTTTAGTCTTGTGCAAAATAGATTTTTCAGGTAATAAAATTAGCCACATTACTTAACATGATATCCAGGCACTATCTATGTAAATGACAAGGGTCTTTAGACATACCACATGCATAAAAGCATTATGTGGCACACAAAGTTACAACAGAACTTCTGGGCAAGGTGTCATTTCAAGAAAATAACTGAAGAAATAACACTTGCAGCAATAATAGGATCCTTTCATTCTGTTAACTAAAAGCGTACTCTGTTTACTCCAAATAAGTGATTGGTCATTCTTCTGTGCTATCTGCCGTGGTCTTTCTTTGAACTCCTCCATCAGAGGACCCGCACTGCACTGGGCAGCTCCTCACAGAGCAGATGTCACTGCGGTGCCCTCCAGGCATGCCATGAGCTAATATTGACACACCAGTAACTGTGGGCAGATGTCTGGAGATAATGTTACCTGCGCTCACAAAGCTGTGCTGCCTCTGCAAAACCGACTCCTGCCACAAAGGAGGAAGGCACATGGGTGTGTGTGCCATAAGACTTTGGCAAGCAGGGGAAGGAACGTTTCAAAATAAGGTAAAACGATTAGTTCAAGTGGTGAGGTAATAAACCATGAGCCCAAGTCCATTCTGAAGGACAGCAACACCGACTCCTCATCGGTGACCCTGTCATTAGCAACGTGTGAATGCGGCTTGGAAAAACATGACACACGTAAAGCACAATGACAACATTTGTGGCAACAAAATGAGTGAAGGAACACTGAATGCTATTACTGCTAAGAAGGGAGTTTTATAATAGGGAATCTTCAATATCTCAGGCTCGTGGACTTTAGTCTCATCTGCAAAGAACATAAACCATCTGCCTTAAAAGTGATCGGTAAGGTCTGCCGCATTGTGTTTCACAGCTATAAACCACATTTGTTAAATCAAAAGACTGACTTTAATGAATTAAGAGTGAAAATGAGATGAATGGCACATTCTAAGTGATGTCTGTAGGGCTTGTGTGGCATCTATAGTGTTTGCAACAGATTGACTCCTGAACAGGAGTCCACTGAAACCTAAAACAACAACTGGCATAATAGCCATAAAGAAGAATAGGCTAATAATAATTCTAAGTATAACTGTGCTGGTTATATCAAATCTCTGACGTTAATAACTAAAGTCTTCAACTTTCACTGTGAGGCTCCTTTTTATACAAATGGTGTCTGTCTCTGTTTTAGGCTACTAAGCTAACAGGGAAGACAGAGTTTTTAAAGCTTTTGAAACTTTCAACAGAATTATGCTCTTCTCGTTTTTTCCCTATAGATTCTGGCTTGCTCAACTATGTCACCGCATGTTTTGCAACACGTTCAAGAGGAATTTAAACACGAGGCAACATTGACCTGCAACACCGACACGTTGCTCAACGCAATAAGCCGCGTTCACGAACAAGAAAAACCAACACCTTCTCATCACTAAGCCCCGGCATTCCAGCTGCCCCGGGGCCGACAGCGGTTTGCAGTCGAGCTTTACCTCACTCTGAAACAAAGCAGCGAGCCTAAAACCGACGAGCAAGCCATGCCCGTTTGCACCCGCTGTCAAACACGGTGACCTTTCTTTTTCATTTTCGGAAAAAGTGGTTCATTCCAACTGAAACTTACCTCTGTTCAGCTGAACTGTGCGGTGTGTTTTCTCTGTGAGGAGTTTTGGAATGGGGAAACCGAGTCTCTTCGCGAATGTGAAGTCTTAATTGGCTTTTGAGGAAGTGCTACTGTCGGCGGCTCCTCATTCCTCTGCTCCGTCGGCCAGATTGAGCCTCCTCGACTCTATGGAGGACGGCGCCGCGCGTCGGGGGCGAGCGCGTGACGTCACCCAGGTAACTTGCAGAACCCGAGCGCGCGAGCTCGCACAGATACCATCAATCAAGATGTCTAATTGAGCCACCCGGCCGACTGGTCTGACGACCTTGTAAAAAAAAAAAAAAAAAAAAAAAATCCATCAGCGGGGTCAAAACAAGCCATGAGTGTGCTGGACTTGTCACACCTTGGCCTGAACCTTTCACCCTTTTTTTTTCTGCCAACGTTGTGACGATCGAAGTGAAACAAGGAAGTGGAGGTTTGCAGGTGACGGGGGGGGGCAAATTTCATCTCAATTTATTATCACTCCAATAGGTGGGTGGGGACCGAATTTGATCAAAAGAAGCACTTCTAGGAAGTTCTTTCCGTGTTCACGGTTTTTAGGCTAATCCACATTGGGATTCCCACGACTCAAGGCTATTTTCCTAAAGCCCACACTTAACGCGCTGACCATGCGACACTGACTCATGAGACCCCACCCACCGAAATTGTCTGGCTAAAAAAGCAGGGACTCACAGTCTACGGGCCCCGAGAGCTATTTATAGCTCCAGAACAGGGAGGACGATGACGCACACAATTAGTAATAAGGTCTGATTGCCGAATAAGACTTTTAAACAACGCTAAAAAGTCACTCATGGAATCATCATCATCATCATCATCACCATCATCATCATCATCATCAATGTTTGTATATCGGGATTAAATCAAGCAGAGGGGCAGGTTTTTTCAAATGAACAAAACTCTCCCGCCGTAAAAGCAGAAAAGGTCTCCAGAAATGTTGAAATCAAGCATTGTTTGTTTCAAATCCCCTTTTTGTTTTCCTCCTTTGGCTATGGTTGTGAACTCTTTAATTAAGATAATTTATTAATTAAAATAACACACAGCGACTTCTACAGCAATAACATCACAGCTTTTTCACTTATTTAAAATGTCAGATATGTTAATCTTTGACTTGATGCTGCCACAACAGTTCCCCCAACCAAGACAGATTTGCTGAGTCATTCTTGCCCGTCCTCTACCTAAATGAAACTCCTTGACTGTCAATCTCAAGTAGTAGGCCTGTGCAGAGGAGCTCATCTTTAGGCCCTCTCCCTGTGGTTTGTAACATGAAGCAATCAGATTTAACAGGAACTACTTTGAATTTGGGAAGTAAGAGTTTTCTTTTAACACATACTGGCAAGAAAAAACATTTTATCAACACAGCCTCTAAAGGAAGGAATGCAGTTTCAAGAGGCTGTTGTTTTTATGATGTCACCCTTTTTGTGATGGTAATCAAAGGGACCAAAGGCATTACCGTAAAGGAAAATGAGTCATTGCATCTTAAGTCTAAAGAAGACATACCTATGCTGACCAGAAGAATGTTACTTTGCTGTTTTACCGGTTGGTGCGCTTCAGTGGGGAGATCCAGTATGTGCCAATTGCCTCCTCGTGTCATATGACTTCTGTGAGAGGCCAAATTTGGCTCCATATCTTCTGTGTGAGTTTACAGTTGAATTTGTTTTGTGATGGCCACCTCTGCCATCTCAGTGCTGCCAGGGCAAACATCACAGTGAGCAATAAGAAGAACACAAAGAGGGAGGGTGGGGAAAAAAAAACAATCCCCCCCCAAAAGTCTATAATGGTCCTTTTATCAAGAGACATAACAGACTAAATGTTTTTCTCGATGTCCTCATTTCCAGCTCCCAGTTCTATAAATTCTCCGCTTAATGTTTCTTAACTTTTTGTGTGTTAAAACTGGGACCACGGTAGTTGTAAGCTACATATACTCATCTCTTGCTTTATGTAGATGACTGTTTGGGTAAAGTCAAAGCAACACATAGGTGGTGAATCATTACAGTAGAGCTTGTGCTTTAACTTATAGAGGCTCTGTTTTTTGTTCCTCTAAGCCGCTGTAAAAATGTTTACTATAGTAAACACACCAGCAACGCTTTGGGGTTTGTGTTTTCGGTGGTTAAAAATGTTTGCTCAACCAAAGTGCAGAACACACACAGACTGAGTGAAACCAAAAACATGGCCAGTATGATCACACAGCAAGATTTCAGGATACAGGCAGTGGGTGTGGCTAACCTGTTAATGATGTTATTGCATGCTACCGAATAAAGGAAACTGGGCTCCTTTTCAATTTCAGTTTCCAGAAGATTCAATGAGAATACTTTTCAATCTTGTGCCTTTTACTATGTCCATTATAAAATGTTTTTACCCACACAAGACTGGAGTTTTATCACTTGAGTACAGAGACTTATATTCAGTGCTGGCCTCCTGCATATGGGTAGAAGGTCCCAGTTGTTTACAGGGATGAACTATCTATCTATCTACCTTTAGAAGTCGTCTTATGACCATATGCTGAAAATACAGGCACTGAAAGATGTTGGTTTTATGGCTTTAAGAGGGGAGGTTTGTGAATGTGTTTCCTTGCGTGTGGAAAAACAGCAGGGAGGGACGGCGGGTGGAGGTGTAGAACAAGCTGTCCAGGTGCTGGGAGGAAATGAACATGGTGTCAAAGCTGTTCTCACTTCTGTCTTTCTTATGTTACTTCATGTATTGGGTCACGGACTCTCCTGGGATCACGAATCTAGAGCAACCCCAATCTTCCTATTTTCTGTTCCTTCTATTTCTGACAAAAATGCAGTCTCTTCGATTTAACTAAATACAATTGATATGTTGGTCGAGATCTCTGCTTGCATTAACATTACTTTGAGATACTTCTCATCTGTTTAGCTGCTTCCTATGACATTATTTTTACCAGATGTTTCAGATGTGTAAATAGAAAAGAGAAATGCATTCACCAAATGACTTAAATTAAAGCCTTTACTTTACCCTAACCATTTTCTCAGAATCAGAAATACTTTAATACTTTAATACTTCTGTAGTTTAAGAGATGGTCTTCATCTTTTGTTGTACTGTCTACTTCATTATTTAGAAAATGGTTTGACGCTGGATACAAATTCATATTACAATGTCAAAGTTGTACAAAAACAGTCTTTGGTAAACACATGATATGAATTGCCTATGCTGTGTTTTTCTCTTATCATATTCATATGAGCCACCGCTTTCCTTGTGGCTGAAATGCTGTCTGAGCTGTTTCTGATGCTTTAGTATGACTAATTAACATTTCTCAGATAGCTTGTTTTCCCCAGTAGGCTGCATGATGCGTGAAAGGGGAAACTAAGGAGAAAAAAGAAGAAGGAAGGTCTGCATCTGATCTGTTCTGGGAACGGTGTGTTCTATATTTGGTCAAAATGTCTGCAACAAGGCAACACTTAATACTAATGATATGTAATCCCCCAGGGCTAAAAGGAAACTCCGAATAATTTGAGCTAAAATGCATCTCCCATGAGTTCATCAGTCTAGTCAAAATGACAAATGTAGTGTCGTAGAATTGTAACTGCAACTGTTTTATATAAACGTTTTACATAAACCCTTCATGATAAGCCTGTTATTTTTGCTGGTATGGATAGCAGTGGTAACACAAGAGCAAATAGAACTTTGTGAAATAAATTCATTTCTCCAGATTCACCCTCAATTGTTTTATACAAGAAGTGGGAAAAAGGTTCATCCATATGCAAGTATGGAGTGAATGATCACACCTGTTTCAATTGATTCATTAGTTTTATTTTAAACAAACATTCCTTTAAAATCAAACATTCTGGGCGCAGTCCTCAGTTTTCAGTGCATTACTGCACCCTGCTGGACGAAAGACAGACTCATCCAATTTGTTTTTGCCAATATCAGACAATAAAAATCAGAGGAACAGAATGATCTTACATCTGCCACATTCCTGTGATTATCACAGTCAATTAAATCCTCAACCATCAGTGTGATTATTGAATCTGTTACAGAGGTTTAATGAACTGCATAGACTTACTGCAGTGTTGTTTTTACTGGACTGTTTTATAGTTTTAAATAATCTTGCAATATAGTGGAGTGGTAATGATTAAAAATGAGTGTGTTAGTGTGTCTCAAAGGGACACAAGCAGTTAATATCCCTTCAGAAACTAACTTTTATTCTTAAAACTATTCATTTAGAACTGTTTCCCCAAAATAACAAACAGATTGTCTTTTTACTCAGTGCTCCAGCATAGATAATATTGAAGTCATTCAGCTGTAAATATTTGAAAGAAAGAGCTCTCAAGTTAAAATACATTAAATGGTGGTATAAGACTGACTATGAGTCAACTGAAAAGCTTTAGCTCCAGTCAAGCCACCAAGACTTTGCTGGTAGTCAGGATTGGACCCTGAAATGATCTGACATAAAACACATGGTTCTCACCTTTCTGACAGTGTAGAGTTCTAGAGATTACAGACAGAAATCCTCAGCTATGGCATTGATGACTGAATCTGTAGATGAAGTGCTTTGCTACACATACATAACACCTTACACAGATGTAAAAAAACAAGATCTTTAATCTAATTTTAAGGCCGAAAGAGACAATTCTGAGTAAACAAATGTATATAACATGTCAATACTGCAATTGACCATGAGGTCAACTTTTTAAAGCCATTTATTTTTTTGTATGCATCTATTTACATAAACATGTACAGTGCACTAAATGCCAGAAGTACAATTCATTGCATTGCAGATGCAGACTGTCAGGAAAAGGCAGAAAAGCTGAAAAAGAATGGAATTAACAAATATGTGCTTTTAAAATAACACTGTATGATGGGGGAGGTGTGGAACAGCCACAATCAGAATGGATCAGATAGTGACTTTTGGTTTATTATTAAAAAAAAAACATCTGAATGTGTCCAAAAAATAAATGTTTGAATGGAATTCCAGTGTTTTCCCTTCTGAATAAAACATGAGCAACTCTAAGACTGACTTTATTTCATACAGCAGCACATATACTCCAAGAAAAACGTCACACTATATTCTTATGTTTCTGGAGAGTAACTACACTGTTTAAAATAATTAAGTATGGTGAGTAAGAGTAGATATGAAAAAAACAAAAAAACAAACAAAAACAAGATCTGTCCATACAGTACTGTGATAACACGGAGAATGAGGAACACAATTCAGTTTCAGGCACATTCATCATTAAATGCAAATTGCACAATACTCAACAAAAAGAAATAAAATGGGCACTTCAGATCTTTATGGCAAAATTGAAAAAGGATTACAAATCATACAATTTAAAACATGGAGTATTTTGGAAAGTGTTCATATTCATGACGTGACTGGCATGCTGAGGGTCTTTTTAACAGATAGATTTCAAGAGTAACGCTTAATAAAACTCCACAAGAGATATTATGTTCACATACACTGATGAATAAAATGAACCTTTACTTAGAGCATGGTGTAACGTCATCTTTATACAACAAAATCATATATTTCTGTTCAATATCTGCTGCATATATTTCACAATATATATTCAGAAGAGCACACATCTGTAAAGTGGCAGCATGGATTTTCCCTTTGACAAGATATGACTTTCACTGTGGTACAGCTTTTTAATATTGTTGTTTAAAGTGGTGCTGGCATGGTTTCAAACACTGCTGCAAAGGATGAGATGTGATTTTCTACCGCAGAAAAAAAGGTTAGATGATTAAGTAGCAATGAGAGAGATTAGTCACTCGATGGCCACACGATCAGCAAATGAGACACAATATTTACAAATGTGTGCCATGATTTCTAAATTGGTTTGGGCATTGACAGCTGCTTTTTCTGCACAAACCACGGCTAACAAGTATTCTGAACACACACAGAACAACAGTATAAAAGTCAGAAGTCCACAATCTGACGGCACTAAGTCACAGATCTGAGCGCATCCTGTGCATACAAATGTTCTGAAATAATTAAAACTCATTTATAAATGTCATAGTTTCAGCCGTTGATCATCAAATGTACTGTTCATTTGTTTGCCAATCATTTTTCTTCTTAAAAGTCCTCTTCTTAAAGACTGTTGCAGTAAGTTTTCTTCAAAAAGTGAAAAAACTGGCAAACAAATCAAATCTCTCTCTGGCTCCCACATGTTGCATCAAATGTGTTCAAGCTGCCCCAGAAAAGTGAAGCCTCCCGTGGCTGGCCACTGTAATGGAAACCACAGGATTTGCATGTGTCATGCTTATCCCTCCAAAAGTTTTGCATTTCTCTCCCACTGCGCAACATCCTTTTGGAATGTATCCTTTCGTCTCACTGCCACAGGGTGGTAGCCTTGTCCTAAATTCTGGTGATGATCCATTTACGATCCCTCCACAGGCCACATGTGATGACTGTTTTGTGATGCTGTGTGTTCAGTTGCAGCAGGTAGTTTTGTTGTGCTCCTCAGAGGAGTTCTAGCAGCCACTGTCAGTTGGGGGTTAACAATCTAAGTTAGCAGGTGCTATAAAACTGTAGCCTCCTCTATCGCATTGACCCACCTGAAACATAGAAATCAAAAACTAAATAAAAACATATATGAATTGTGGATTTCTGCCAAGGCACAGAGCTAAGGAAGCATTAAATAATGTGGCTTTCCTCAGGCTTATACACTTAAGCATGCACAACTGTTAAGTCACACGATTAAAGAAAGAATATCAAAACATTCTTCATTCTCAGATATATTTGCAACATATTTGAAAGGCTTCTGATTTCCTATGTAAAATACTGCTAAAAAGAAGAACATCTTTAAGGCATCAGGTAAGCTGTGATTGCGTATTCCCATTATATAGCTGATGCCTTTTGAACAGCTGAAATCTGCTGGGTTAAGCCCCCTAGTGGTTAGGATCTGGCACCCTGACAGCTGTGGCCTGGTTTCCATTCCCATTCATGGCAAGTAAAGCTATTTAGCAAAAACACTTCAACATGCAGTGGAGAAAAAAAAACCCTATTGCCATCATGCCTCTGCAGAGGCTGCTGCTCACCTGCGTGCAGTGTGTTGATCGTCAGCTCTGAAGGTGTAGTAGAGAGTTTTCTTGTGGTACAACTGAAACACATTACTGCTTTCTTCTCCATCAGGCTTCTCATTCAGCTTTACAGTGAAGCCCTGTAGAGGAAGACTTTCTGAAGCCACTTTATCCTGAAGAAAACAGAAACGGAAGAAGGTAACAAAAATGTAAAACACTGGTGGAGAATCTCAGTCATCTACACAACCGTCACCCTGAGGGCTTGAATAAAATAAACTGGACTTCTTGGTTTGTGTGGTTTCACCTCTCACCAAAAAGCTTCTGTTTTGAACTAGAAATGTTTTCACATTTGAGAAGAACAAAGCATTTCAAATAGCCTATGCAACTGTCAAAAGAAAAGAAGCGAGAGAGAGCACAGAGAATCCCTGAATTAGGTATTCAGTGTTTTGCCCATGAGGTGAGAAAAAGATGAAAAAACTGGAAACATATGGTTTGAGCACAGCTGTCATGTGTTGGCAAGACGTGAAGAAGGATGGATGAAAGCTTTTTTGCATGAGTATTATTGAGATGATGATGGGGGGAAATGATGGTGTTTTTCGGGGCTGGTGCGGGAGACTCTGTGCCCCCTCACCTCACGGGCTGTGAAGGTGTAGAGCACCTTATCTTTGAGGAGGAACCACAGTCTCTTCCACCGTCTTTTGCTTTTCTTCCTGCGCTGCAGGCTTCCGCTCATGGTGGAACCCTCCACGCTGAGTGATACCTAATGATGATTTAGTGACACAGACATTGATAAAGAAAACAAAAATATATAAGCACGGGACATTTAAAGTGGATCAATGGGAAATCAGGTTGTCAATTTGAGTATTTATTCAACATTGGAGGAGTAATCAGTGAAACACTTTACAGAAATACTGCGTGAGAGGGGGAAGGGGGGGATTCTGCCGACAGCTGTAGGGCGCTATGCTCATCAGATCCTGCAGCTGTCAGTGTTGAAAATGCAAGTCCCTGGTGGTCTAGTGGTTAGGATTCGGCGCTCTCACCGCCGCGGCCCGGGTTCGATTCCCGGTCAGGGAACTACTTTTGTGTATATTAAGAAGCATTGCAAATGCTAATCATTATGCTGTATGGCTGTCAGAAAGTGCTAAACTGTCCAGAGGGAGGTATAGTGGTATGTGTTGAATTAAACCAAAGTACAGCCGTATAATCCACCTGGCTAAGATTGGAGGAGCCCTTTCTGGATTTCCACAGACTGGGAGCCTGCAGGCTTTGGAAGACAGCCGACAGTGGACGACTGGCCCTGTGAGTCCGAGGGCTGGAGTTTCCACACGCTCCTGAAATGCTGCCACCTGCAAACATAAATTAAGCCACAATCTTGAGTAGATAGAATGGCAACATGTTTCTTACTGATGTAAGTAGTGCCTAAGGGTTCTGTTAAGGCACAGGCACAGAAATCACCTCTCTTCCTGAGTTCAGCATAGCAGTGGTCACACACTTTGGCCACCCTGTCCTTGAGGTACTTGAGAGGATATCTGTTTCTGGAACACGCTCGGCAGACCACCTGTTTAGAGAGAAAGAAATCTGTCTTCTTGTGATATCCTCAAGACCAATGCTAAGCAGTCAGGTGCTACCAATGGAAGCAACAGTTTAAGCCCTTAAAAGAGGGACACTAGAGGGAAAAAGTCCAATTATGTCAGTGTTTTGTGTTTCTGACCTTGCCACAGGCGTTACAGTGATGTCGTCTGAGTGTGAGGCTGAAGTCAGTGGTACAGTTCATGCACATCATCACATGCGAAACTGGAACCAGGACAGGCGCAGCTTCTCCCAAAGCCATCCACAACTTCTCACGAGCCTGTCGGAACAATGTTAGCTGGGTGGGGATATTATTTAGAGATGGCTGACTGAAGAAACCTGGATATTTGACTTTTTAATTCAACAATTCAGTTTGCAAAAGTAGGTATTGTCTGAACCACATGAAGTAAAACAAAACTTTCTCAATAATGATTGCTACGAGGTTTATTCTCACCTCACTGCAGGGTCCACCAAATGTGCAGAGTCCAGCTGCATGGTCTGCTATGGCCCGACTTAAGGTGTGGAACCAGTCCTCACGTTCTCCAACCGAACTGCAAGGAAGGGAATAGAAAAGGAACAAAATAATGTCAAGCTTAACATTTCTTTAAAAAGAACGCCATACATGAAACTATCAAAAAACAAGTGGAAATGTTTAATTTGCTTCAGCACAGTTTACATGTGTATTTTGTTTTTCTGCTCACCTGGCGGAGAGAGTGATGGTGATGTCAGATACTTCAACCCTAAGACAGTTTAACACATTGTCCAGTACAGGTTTGCTCACCTGCGTGTTACAGAAAGACATCACAGATTAGCAATAAAATAACAGGTAGAGTTGAAGTGAGGATAATGAAATTGACCCACCTTCATCCCTGACAGGGTTAGGGTGTTTTTCAGCCTGTATTTTCCATCCTGCTGAGGGTAGGTATACAGCATTATATCATTCATCTGAGGAGGATCACAGAAAAAAGAGAGAGAGACCATTTATGTTTTGAATTTAAGATTTTGCTTATATCTCTAGAACAGTACCAACAGCCATGCATGTGACACAAAACATAACATCCTTTTTGGGGTAAGGCTGGCTAAAAGTCTTCAGCCAATCTGCATCTAACAGCTCACCACCACAAGGTGGCAGAGTTACCAAGAGCGATGTCTAAAAAAGCAGACATTTGAAGCTCAAATACTTAAAAAAGTGTTTTTCTACAGCTCCATCACATGTCTGTGCATCCTGCCACCTCAAAACGTCCACATACTCCCACACACTCAACAAAACCAGACGTTACTTTAAAGCAGTGTTTATTTGCAAGGGAGAATTAAACTATTCTAATCCCCTGAACGCACTGAGAGTCCATTGTGCTTTGGAAGGTATTTCATAATGTTGACAAAAGAAATTACATCATTGGTCACACCTAATGTGTGCTCTAAACATCCGCTGGGGCCGTACAGGCAGCATCCAGGAATTCTCCACCCTGCTCTGGACTCCAGACCTCACCTCACCCTTTACAGACTTCTCAGGCTGCACTGAGAACCAGGACTGGGTGGAACCGGCCACCTCTGCCACAACAACAACACAAACAGTCTAAGTCAACTGCTCTCCGGCCGGCTGGCTCTAGACAAAACAGTGCATGATAGCCAAGTCAGAGTGGTGCCTGTGACCTCTCTGCTGCAGCCACCGCAGTTTTGCCTGCTCCACCCTGTGCTGCACACTCACTCAAAGAGTCCTTCCACAGAGTCCAAGCTGACACACAGTGGACAGACTTCACGGGCCCACTGTGAGAGAGACATCCACATGACCCTTCTGACTTCTTTCAACAGCGACATTTAAGCTTATTTTTTAAACCTTCTCCTTCTTTACCTGCCTCTCGCTCTCCCTCGCTTTCCCTCTGCCGCTATCCACATACTCGGCATCTTTTTATGTGGCTTTTATTTCTTCTCTAAGCCCAGGCTTGTGACATGGCTGCGGCTTCTTTCTGTCACTGACTGATGGCTTTTCATCTTCACTGTTTGGATTCTCTTCCCTAAAGCAGGTCATAGATAACATCTGACCCAATGGAACTATTGACTACAATGAAGAATATGGCTTCATATTAATACAATACTTTACAGTATTGTTTAACTGCAGTCCTGTTGCCATAGATCGATGGCATAGAGCAAAATGAAAAAAGACAACCAAGTCGTCAGAATGTCTCTATGTAGAATTGGGATAAGCTAAAACCATAAATGCCACTATAACGGATATCTACCTCAAGCATAATTCAAGGCATGAGACAGCACTGATTGCACATGGAACAATGGAGTGGGCTTCTCTATTTCACGTTATGTGTTTGTGTAACACCACCACCCCTACTTCGCCACCTCCTCCCTGCATTCTACAGGGTGTCTGGCCTTCACTTTGCTGTCAGTCCCCTCCCAATACACAGGAAGCCAGCATCCAATGACCCACACCAAACATCCTGTAAGGAAGTGGGGCCCTCAAAAACAAGTCCTGAGAGGAGAAGAGTGGAGAGGGAGGCCCTTGCTTAATGGGTGTGGTGCTCAGTGGAGGTCTTACAGCCTTGGCCTCCATCCCCAGCCTCACCTACCTCCACCCAACATTCCTCCTCATAGTCGCAGATCATACATGCTTTGTTTTCAATTCTTCTTTAGCAACGTGGCAGGTGCTTAGTTCTATTGTACAGGCAGTGATGCTCTATAAAAGCTAATTTAACATGCTTACTGGTGGGGTCAGCCATTAAAATAATTACCCCCATCCTTGTTTCATCCAAGCCAGCGGAAAATAATATCAAGTTCCCATGTAGATTGTAAATTTGCAGCAAATATAAAGCTGATTAATTTAGTGTAAGCCACAAAATAGATTCAATCATTTTACTCAAGCCATTCTTACAGCCCGTTCTTCATTTGGTTCCAGTACAATATAAAAAACAACTACTGACATCAGCTCAGTTCATACAGAAATGATTTTTTCCCATCAGGCAAAAACATTCCAGGTTCCAAGTCAATTGATATTTAGGTGCAAAATAGTCTTCCTGGATGGTTCCAATATGATAAATAACAGAAGCAAAGAATAAAATAAATAAAATACCAATTTGCTAACAGGAATTGAATAAATTATTTTCACAAAAAGATCCACCTGTGAAGAGGATCTTCAAAGTTTCAAAGCGTTATGTTGCTCCCTAAATTGGGCAGTATATGAGACTTTTGTTCTGCAGTCATGCCAGCACAATTAATCTGAAAGCTGTAGCCAGCAGGAAGCTCATTAGCAGAGCTCTTTTCTGAAAAAGTGGGAGGCAACTAATCTGACCGTGTCCTGCAGTCTGAAATTCTGCCAGCTCTTTTTGGAAAGGTGATGCAATAACAACACAGTTTTAATTTTTTGTTGTCACTTGAAGCTCTTTTTCGTGCTGATAATTAAAACAAGTGGTCCACTTGGTAGGTAGAGCACCAGATAATAAAGAATACACACATTTGGCTGAAAATCTGATCTAGACTCTTTATATGAATAATTCAGCCTTGGCCAAAGACTTTGGCTTTCGAGTTAGTTTTTTCAAACACTGCAAAAAGACTGGCCCTTAATTGCCTTTTCTTCCGTGATTTTATTCTTTCTGCTTTGCCTTTCAATGCTTTATTGAAAATAGCAAGGACAGAATAGCGTGGTATGGATCTCTTAATATTTCCTAAAACATATACATTTCTCCCTTATAGGTAAAACCAATAAGCTAAGGCTTTATGTGAGTATCTCATAATGCGAAAGTGAAAAGGGACAAAGGACAAGGAATATTACCAGAAACAGGTGGCGTGGCTGTCTACTTTTCCTTGAGACCTTCATGAGTGTGCCCTCTTTGACAAAAATCTGCCAAAAGAAATAACATTTAAGCTTATGAAAGACACAGTAGTTTGTAAAAAATTAACCTTTCTGCACATTACATATATATATCTGTTATTTTTATGTCTGAGCTTTATTGGGAATCAGAAATGCTGCGACAAAGCTACACCATGCTCACCCTTCCAGGCTTCAGAAGGTCCCTCTTCCCTTTCATGCTGTATTCGATGTGGACCAGACGTAACAAGTTCTCCTGTGGGAGAAAGGATGCAGAGAGAGAGAGAGGGAGATGACTGAGAGATGAATGCATGTGGAGACAGAAAGCTACACTAAGCAGACCGGGATGGAATCCTGACAACTGAAAGACGGGGGAAAGACAGACTCTTTGTTTTCCCTGCTTATCAAACTGTGTGTCCCTGTGTACGGAAAACAAAGAAAGCGTGACTAACAGAGGAGGTAAGCCGAAGAGGCACAGGGGAGCTTGACACTGTGAGAAGCAACAGAGACATGAGGAGAGGGTTTGTCAATTCTACCCATTAAACTGCCCCTCTTTTCAGGGGCTGTGTGAGTCATGTGCCCCTTCACACTGATCCCTTTGTAATCATACACCTGGGACTTTCTGCTGACAATGTCTTTCCTTGATTTGCGTTAATCAGCAAATGGGGCTTAGGCCTCTCCTTGACTCCCACAAGTAGTTAACTGGGGGAATAATAAGATAGCTGCCCAATGTCTTTACACCAAAAAATAACTCTTTAAGTCTAAGTGTAAAGACAGCAAAGGTTAGCGATGAATTTCCAAGACTAATGTCTGCTATGCCTAAAGCAGTCTATTCAGACTCACCCCTTGTTTGAGATTGTCATTGGCCTGGTCTGCCACCTCAGACAGCATCATCAAGGCAGCTGCAAGACAAAGACAGAATGAAAAAGAAAAGGCTTGGATTAATTGAGCCGACCCTCTGGCCATGACACAAAAACTGAAGTTTAACAGTAATGCACAACACTTAAAACTGATCAAATGTTAATATCAGAGAGGCCATCCTGCAGATTTACCCTGAGTGTCCTCATATTCCTTTGAATCAGGGGAGAGGTTGTTCTGGTAATCTGAAGAAAACAGAACCAAGACACAAAACGATCAGATTATCAAATAGGACGATGAAAAAAGTGAATACAATGCATGTCCTACTGGTACTTTAATTTAAACTGGTACAACATAACTTACCTCGAAGTAGCATTTGATACTGAAGTACTCTCACTATGACCTGTAGTAGCTGGTGCTTCAGTGGGACTTCAAATTCTTCTGGGCCTCTAGTCTGCACACACACAAACGTACTTATTACATCTTCAAACATTTCTAATGTCGCATTAACATAAGGTTTTTGAGAGGAGTATCAAAAGTGGCGTGAAAACGTTTTTAATTGATCCTGTCATTTAATAAAGGGACACAGAGCCCGTGGAGGTCTCAGTGTTACACCCAGATTCACCGATCTCTGTCCTCCAAATGAGGATGGCTGGTTTCATTCAGCGGTGCAGGCCGAGGTCAAACATTGACCAAGGTATATTTTTCCTGCCAGGGTGACCTTCAAACACACAAAAACCCGAGTGACTCCCTTTCTTCTGCTCCATGCAATCTGGTGCAGGTGAAAGAGGACAGAAAGTGGCACTATCTAAGAGAGCAAGAGAAAATCAATCAGGATCTAATTGCCTCTGACAGGTATTTATGCCCCGAGCAGTAAAGAAGCAGCGGGGCTTCGAGGTTCATCTAAACACTCATGCACACGCACACATATTCACACACACACATAAACCCAGTCTTTTCTAATCTAATGAAGTCCTATTCTTCATTAGAGAGGCACGAATAGCGCCCAGTGGGATAAAACATGCTCATGTTATTTACACCAGACAATCATATGTACGATGTGTCAGGGAACCATCCTCACACATACGCACAGACACAGACTCACACATGGCCCAGCACTGAATGAAGCCGCAGAGGTTTAAGCAGTGTTTGGAATTAAAAACACTTTGTCTGGGGGAGATAAAAATAAAACAGCGAAATGACGCCTTTTTTTTAATGAGTAGCTTCCCGAAAAAAAAAAAAAAAAAAAAAACCCTCCCCCTTTTGATTCTTTTTCTTGTCCCATTTTCTTATTTGAAACTTCCATCACATTCCCATCCATTCTTCACCTGACTGCAGCACGACTCATTTAGGGACAATAACAACCAGCTCCCCTTATTAAACCCCGCTTGTTTTCTGAACATCCGCTCTCCTCAAGTGTCACTTGTAAATTGTCATCCAATTGACACTTGTTTTAGAGGAAGTGGCTTTCCATGGCTGATAATTAGTCTGCCGTTTGTTTGGGGGGGGGGGGCGAAGGGGGGGGGGGGGGGGGTGGAGACGAAGAAGTGTGCGATGCCTTGTGCTGCTAGTAGACAAACGCGCGCGTGCAAGTGCACGGACAAACAAACACGCCTCTCAGGCTCTGTCACGGCCAGCTGATTTGCTGCCTGAGCGCACACAACCGATCTAATTGGGGAGTTGTAAAGGAGGCTGCTTCTCTAATTAGCTTCTGTCTGCCTCATTGCCCAGCTGCCTTTACAAGGAATTCACTCCATTGCTCTCTGTCCACCTGCTGCACAGCCTCCTCCCGGGGATTTTGCACATGAGAAAAACACTCAGGCTTGACTCTATGTTGGGATGAATTCAAATCTAAGCTGGGGTTTTTTTTTTGAAAAGTGGTTTCATATACCTTGTCTGACTGGTTCACAGTCGGACGCAGATGTAAAGGGGAAACAGAGGTGACGCACACACACACACACGGAGCTCTGCGTTGGCTGTTGTTTATAGACGGCGCCGTAAACAAGCAAGTGGCTGTTGAGATGAGGCTGTAATCCGGTAAGGGGTCGAGCACTGATGTGATCAGGGACTGTGCCTACTTCATCACTGTCATCACCACACCCACAATGAAATTACTACCACTTACACGGCAGGATTCGGGCTTGTAGCAGCGAGAGGTAAGTGGAGGGGAAAATGGAAAGGAAAAGAGGTGTTGGTGTAGGAACAGATGCCTGAAAGTGAGGAAGAGGAGAAAAACATCGGAAGTGGACAAATGACACAGATTTTTAGATCAATATAAATAAGAAAGGGGAGACGCTCCGTCAAGGGCCTGCAGCATACGTGAATGTGTGCAGAATAGAAAGGCTGTGGCAGAAATGACTGTGACCCCCTCTCACTGGTAGGTGCACTGTTTCTTGTGACCTATATGCTTGCCTTTGCTCTCCCTCAGCCCTCCTTCTTGCTCATTACAGCGGGGTCACACACACCGTGCAACTCCCAAAGCAGTACTTCAGAACAGCATGGTATCCATAACATAATGACCTGCTGTTGGAAACTGTGAAGGACTGACCCAAGATTATGATGCTTATGGACAGTCTTCTAAACTTATGGTTTAATATCCCTCTGGGTGATTGAGTCATATGTCCACATGAGGAGGAAAAATATTGGCAGTCAAAATGTTTGTTCATGCTTTTAACAGGTTGCAAATCAAGCCATTGGTGGTGGTTGAAGGTAGCTATCGGTGGTTTATGATGCAAAGTTTATATAAATTCTTCACAGCAAAAGCTGAAACATGTCATTGAGAGCTATACCTTTTGAAGAGTGGAAACAATCTGTAGGGCACCAAAGGACAGCGCTCAGTTGGACTCTGCCTCAGCTAAGATGTTCTGGAGAGACACAGCTGCTGATGAATATTCATGAGCTGGGACAGTTGGTGGCTTGTCCATTTGCCTAACTTATCAAAGTATAAAATGCCTGGAACCATTGCGTCAGCCATTCAGCGAATCAGCATACACAGTGGATCCAGTGGGTCTGCATGATTTTTGTTGGAAAGCTGCTGAGTCTTTTTGGTCTTTTTCTTTAGGGGGGTAGGCAACATTAAAGCACACAGCACAGAAATCAAGATTACCAAACATATCAATGCTTTTTGTATATGGTTTGATTTCTTTTTAGAGTGATTTGTGTGCTATTGCACATTGAGTTTGTTTTTACACTTTTCTTGTTGCAAGATGCAACACATAGAGATGAGATAGCTTTGGGTTTATCCTGAATTGTTTTTTAATATCCTGTGTTTAAGTTAGGTATTGCTATTTTATTATTGTTTTATACTGGTGGTGTCAGCCTATTCAAGTATAGATTATTGATTAAATGACCAGGAACATAATTTGTTGAGGTCTGTGATAGTATTACATTAACTCCCTTGTGATCCCCTCACTTAAATCCCACTTCTGTGTCCACTAGCAACTAGCGAGAAAAAAGAGATCCATACTTGACAAAGAATGAGCATTTGTTGTTGAGTGGGTGTGAAAAATGCTTAGCATGACACCAGAAAGGTTAGGTCCACGAAGATGAGTGGGACAGAAAAGATTCATAAAGACCAATATCTCCCTGTAGAAGGCTGAGGGGTAAAGACATAAGCTAAGAGATGCTGAGTGTGTGCCTGGGGAAATAGCAGGTTTAATCTCTGCTCTGGTAACAGCCAGAGGGCTTTATGAAAAAAGAAGTGTAGATCACAAACATGTCCCCGCAGCTCTCCTTTTCAAAGAGGATCCTTACAATCATAAAGTAGCCTTGGCAATGCAACATAAAGACTCGCCAGAGGACAAAACATCATCATGTAATTGTTTTACCTCAAATTTCTTGACAATGCTAGCAAAAGCTGGTTTGTTTCTGCAGCTCTCCTCCAGCAATGACATGCTGCGATCATACTCAGAGATATATGTGTCGAACACCCGAAAATCGTCGCGACGGGACAAGATGACATCCACCATCTTCTGGCTCTCCTCCCTTCACAGTGAATAGGAAAAAAAATCAATAAAGTGTGTCAACATAAATAATCTGAAGCACAATGAAATGAGTGTGAGTAAAATGAGTAAAATTCCAAACTTTCCAAATGACTACTTTTCTACTGAAACAGACTGTATGCCTTGCATCATTTCTAAAATGGTGGTACGTTGCACTAAATGTCTCTTAAAATGTCAGTTTCACTTATACGAAGTATATTGGTACTACTTTTTAATCTTTGAATTGAATTATAGACCACAGGGCTACTTCATTTTACAAAAAATACACAGTTAATATATAAAAGAGATTTACATCTTTTGAATAGAGAACATATGAAATCATTACCACCCATAATCAGCCACAAACCTACTAATAGATTTTTTTTCCTCATGTCAGTGGGGAGTCTTTCAATTTTCTTTTCACAGTTTTTAATACCTATTCTGCTAAATTTGACACAAAATAAGAGACTTAGTTAGTCAGTAACAAAAAAAATATTCAAAATGACACAAAACTAAGGCCTATGGTCGAAGAAAGATTCCTCTAATATTACACTGTACTGCTGAGCATATTAAAACAGGGTTAGACGGGCGCAGATTAATTTCAGGAGCTCAGTGGAGAATAAATCATCATTGTGACAGACCCCTTAATCTATATCTATCCTCACTACACCACTCTATTAAATTCTATGAAAAATATGAATAAGCTGTTCTTCACAGCAATTAGCTACAGCCCAGCCAACTGAACATGCTCTTACCAGTGACTGATACGTTCTTCCAGCTCATTTGAGATGCTGGTGTGGAGGCTGTAGACCTGCGGGAGTACACCCAATATCTCCCCCAGCCTTTGCTCCTCCAGTACCGGCTCTCCTTCCTCATCCAGTGCCCCAGTCACTGCTGACCTAAAATCCTGAAGAAGAGAGGGGAAACAGGATTTGTGGGGAGAGGTTTTTTTTAACGAGACAAAGGTGTTGGGGTAGAAAGGCAAAGCAAGGAATGAAGGAAATGGTTGTGAGGATGGAAGGAGGAAGGGAGGGAGGGAGAGCAGGAGGAATGAAAGGCACAAAGGAATGAGGAATGAAGAGAAAAATGGAAGGAAGGTCAGATCCTCCTAAACATCCTTCCTGCCACCCTCCCCTCATATCATCTCAGTACTTGGGCTCCATCCAGGCATTCAGGAAAGGTGGCCCCCGCTCGCAGAAGAGCTGCACACCAGGTGTTGCTGCAGAATGACCTTATTCAATGACACAATGCGGCTTTGTACTCAGCCCACATTTTTAATTTCTCTGTTGACAAGAGTGAACAAAAATCCCTGATAAACAGCTAATTTGGCTCCTCTAAAGTACATTCTGTTCACATAAAGCATGTGCAATATGCAATAATAGCTGCGATGTCAGTGATTAAAGTGACTAATTCTATGAGCTATGGTGCAAGAGATGAAAGACCAGTGGGGAGGTAACAGATCTACTTGCCAAATGAACTCAGAAATAAGTGAAAGTAAGTGAATCACCACAGAACATAACCTGCTTTGATATATATATATATATATATCAGTGTTTTCTGTGTGCTAAATTGCGCGACAAAACTAATGTCACACTGTGTTGAGAGCCATGCGTTGTCCCAAATGATAACTGTCAGAGGCCCATCAATTCCAATTTTGTGTAGAGCACAGACATAACACAACTAGAGGCGTCCCAGTTGGCTGCGAAATAATCTGGTACAACTTCAAAACAAGTGATTTATCACGCACAACAAATCAGGTATAGGCTGCCAATTCATCATGTCTGTGATGGAAAAGAGCAGGCAGTTTTCTGCATGTCTTCTTCGTGAAAGCACACATCCACTCTCAGATCCATGGAGAAGAGGAGCCTTCCTTGTCACCTATCCCCATTAAGAACTTAGTTGATTTAACTAAGTAAGGGAATCTGTTCATGGGTCATAGGTCACAAGGGAGAAAAAATAAGTCTGGGTCTCATATGTTGAAGCCGTTATGGGGAAAGTCGTCCAGAAGAGGAGCATGGCCTCCCTTCCTATGTGGAGACAGGGTCTGGAAATTCTTTGTATTCTTGTTATTCCTTATCAAACAATGGAACAATAGCTCATGTGTGCCTCTCACTTAACGCTGCTCCTTGTTTTTTTCCCAGGCCGTGTGTTTGTACATGCCGTGCTGCTCTCCATCTGAATTACTCGCTTTCATTTTACTCATAACAACGGCCTGCATCAAACACTCACCAATATCTCAAACGATTACACTTCAAGGTTAGTCAAATAAGAAGAGCCCGATGCTTTACTTTTGTAATGTGGAAAAGCTTAAAGGCACAATGCAAAAGTTCAATGTCACCTTTAGAAAGCCGCAAAAATTCCAATTAGCTTGTTTCATTGAGGATGAAGCAAGCCAAGGTTATCTGCCATTAAATAAAGATCATTTGCAAAAGCTGAACTTCAAGCTGAACTATATTTCATAGCTTATAACAACATGTCCAGTAATGCACCAACAAAGAGTATGGCCTGCTGCACATTTTTCAATCCATTGTTTGGCAAACAGCAGCTAATCAACATAATTGAGTATCATGACATTCAATCATGAAAGGGTTCCGTGGTTTGATGTCAACATTCTGTTGTTTGATATCAACCTTCATAATGATTAAGGGTATCAAATTAGAAATAAAAAACAACTACACTGGCCTTTCAACGCAAAATGATAAATCATGGTGAAAGATCCACACATTTTAATTCAGGGAATGTTTCCAAGGTTAGATATTGGGGGCTCCCTGCAGTGACGATCAGATTTTTACTGTCAACAACCAAAAAAACAGCCGCATCGGGTCAGAAAATGTTTCAGCTGTCTCAGCTCTTTTGTAAGAAAAACAAACCCACATTAAATAATTGTTTAATGGCTGCAGTCATTATGTTTATGTGTTTATGCATTTAGCAGATGCGTTTATCCAAAGCGACTTACAAAGTAGACATAATGTTACAGTTATCATCAATATGAGAATATGATCTCTGGAGGAAAATCCTTAGTCAGAATCTGTGGTGAAAGAAAAGAGATAGAGGGAAGTACAGAAAGAGTAGTGAGGGGTACAGAGGTATGGGTAAGAGTTAGGATAGGAGATGCTCTTTGAAGAGGTGGGTCTTTAAGAGTTTCCTGAAGATAGAAAGGGATGCTGCTGTTCTTGTTGTGCTTGTTAGGTCACCAGTGACACTGAGTAAGATGTTTAACTAAATGTGGCACATGTGGTTTGATGCGTGCATTAATGCAGAGCTTTACCACAACTCTCCTTTAAATCCGGCAAAACCTATATTCATCATTGAACCGAGACTGACACCTAATATCCCCATTTTAAAAGGCCCCAAAAGCCTTTCTTGATATTTAAGTCTGCTACTTTATTGAAGATGAACATATTCATCATCGGATGAGTAAGAATTCTAAAAAGTGCACCAGAGTACAGCATGCAACTTTGTCAAGAAGAGGAAGTAGATCTTACTGCAACAACAACATAATAAACCTGAGCAGAACGGTGCAAAGCAGAGAGGAGAAGGAGGAGACGGAGATACAGGCAAGAGAGCAGATGCACAGTCCATGATTCTATCAGGAGGTATTTCAGAAAGTTTAATAGGCCCTTAAGCTCAAGAGACACATTTACGGTTTGGCAGAAAAGGTCTTAATACCTCATGAATGTGCTTGAGGGCACTGACGTGTCTGAAAAAACAAGAAGAGAGAATCATTAGCGATAAACTAGGGGAGAACCTTCCCAACAACTGTGCTACTTTTTCTCCGAGACTCAGTAAATTATTCACATTTTGCCTGATGAGAAAACTACATAAGAGGAATGGCCAAGTGTGTGGCAGGACACTTGTGTAATTGGCTGTCAGGTGTTCTGCATCCGACTTGATAAATTAGCCAGGAAAGAGGAAATATACATTTCCAAAGGTATTGAACTATAGCTTCTGGGTAAAGCAAAAACAACTTAAGATATCGATACAGCAAGGTATTTGGGATGGCATGCTGGAAAACGTTGTCGTGAGGGGAAATCCACAAACGCGTGTACTTACAATCTCTCCGAGTCAGTCAGGTCTTTGGCGATGTAGAACGCTCGAGATCGACCATCAATCTGTGTGACAGGGAGGGAGAACAGTGGGAGATGAATGAACACAGTTAATGTTTAAAGGCTCTCAGTGGGCACTTACTCCTCTCAAACATTAATAGGAACAGCACTGCAGCCGCTAAGGAGGCTGATGAAAAACCAAATTCTTCTTTTTCAGATTTATGCTGTCAAAATAAGACGGATTATTCCATTACAGCATAGCGCAGACGCCGAGGCTCTCTCAAATATGAGACTTTTAAATCTAAATGCATTATGTATGAGATGTTGTGTGTATAGTGATGGCAACAGTGCTCCCCACTGATTTAGAGGCTAATCACCGGGTCTAAAAACATGGGCGCCAAGGCATATCATTGAACTCATTTAAGGGTGTACTACCATGAGTTGTGTTAATCTATTCCTATGTGCAGCGTTTCACAAAATCTGCATTAGAGCCACACTGATTCTGTGTTTCTCAACAGAGGCCGAAAGCGTCATCATGGGGCTGAATCAAGTCTGCCCACAGCTCTTTCTCTTTGACTTTCTTTTCCAACTCAAAATTCTGTCTCAATTCTATTGTCAGTATTAAGTAGATAAAAAGCACAGTTTTCTGTAATGCAAGTGGTTTCCCTGGTGCAGCATGCTCTCTCTGGGGACTGGATTAACTACTTGTGTTTCAACACTATCCCACCACTTACCTGTCGGTCATAACCTTGCTCAGCACCCCCCTCTTCCTCCTCTGAGGTTCGTCCGTGGTCCTCGTCTGCTGAGAGCCCAGCAGAGATGGGATTCATTGGAAAAGGCTCTGTGTAGGCACTGTCAAGTGAAGAAAAAAATAGTTGAATTACAGCACAACAGTCCAACACTAATATAACAGAATGAAAGAACTTGCTTTTAACATTATGACGTGACTCTATGGCTTCAACTCGGATTGCCATGCAGTTTGAAGGACACAAATACCCAACAGTGCTTTCAGATTAAAAAGCCCCTGTATTCTCAAAGGAGCGCTGAGAAAAGAGGAGTCCCAGTCCACTGCAAATGTATGTTTTTCCTTTTCCTCTGTGGTCTCCAAGCATTTCGGGCTTCATGCATAGCCCTCAATGGGCACACTGTAATCCCTGTCCTGATCTGAACCTGCAAATATAGCCCAGTTTTGCTCATGTGGTGGTAATCCTTTTGTTTACCGTTATACCTGATGGGAATGTACTGTAGGTCATGTCCCATATAATCCCTTTAAATGCAGCCTGTGCTAAGTTTTAAAGCTCTGTGGGCCATTAACGAGCATACAATATGGTAAAAGACACCAAACTGGATGACAAAAATATATAAAAGACAACCCAAACATGCAGGACACAGTTTTCATTCAGATACAAAGTTTTTTTTAAATATATATTTTTACAACATCCAGCAGCTCCACAATGCAAAGAAATGCAATTCTACATTGAAAAAACAACACATGTGCTTAGAACTTAAAAACTAAACCATCTATGTCACTGGTCACATTGTGCTTCACAGCAGATTTTCTGAAGGTACATATTCAGGAGTGGGAATTACACTGGTGAAACTATGAAAGTTCTTGGTTCCTTATGTTTCTAAAAGAATAATGGGAGGGAAATTCTTCAGTTAACAGGCTCCTTGTTGTGGAACCAGCTACCAGAATGGGTCATGGAGGCAAAACCTCCTATAAGATATGTCTTAAAAGGTTCTTTATCAATAAAGATTATTGAGCTTGACTGCTGTGGGCAGTGCACTGCTGGATCTACCACATTTATCCTCACCACGCTCTCTGGAACATTTTATTCTCTGTGTGTTCCAGTGTTGTTGCAATTAACTTGGTGTTTCCCTTTTTTCTTTCCCACTTTCCCGTAACTTGTGTGGGGGAAATCAATATATGTATAATCCATTTTTTCGCTTCTCTCCGGTAACGTTCCACCAGTGAATATTTTAAAGGTTCTTTTTCTTTCTCGTGGGATTCTTTCCTCCTTCAAGGTCTCAGAGAAAGTCTCCTTATATTTAGTCTCTTAATGTTTGGTCATGAGGATTGGTTAATACAGGTGCAGGATGGAAGACAGACTTTACCTCTGATTTCGGACTCTGTGATTGTGCTGATTGCTCTCTAAATGGAAGTTATTGTGGTGTGATTGCTGTAAAAACAGATTCAATTTGACATGCACAAATGGATATTGTCTATAAAAATCAAGACTTTCTTGGGCAAAAGTGTTGATATGTGATACAAAATTAAGTATTAAATGCACCTAAATTTCTTTGAACTTTTTTGAGTAGATGGCAGTCAAAGTGCCAGGCCATGCTGTGTGTAGCCTTTCCTTATGCCTTTCTGATTAAAATCAGGAAGGGTTTAGTTAAAAAAGACGATACAGGAGAAAGGGATTGATTGCTCTCGTATCTTGTGACAAACACTTCCAAAACAGTTGTTTTGTTGATCTTATAGAGGTCAGATAGGATGCCACAGTTCATCTCGTGCACTTTTGTTCTCTAGTAGGAAAAGGATCTGTCTGAGGGTGTTCTTGTGATTTAGGTGCACAGCAATATTTTGTTTGAAGAAGATCCTTTTCTTGGAGATTCCTGACAATTATGGAATTACAATATGTTATGCCTGTTCCTCTTAGCTTCTCTAACAGTGTTGGTTGGTCTGGATGCTGCTGCTGATTTAGAAAAGGACCAGTAGAGATGTCTACAAGTTTAAAGAGCTTTTTTGCAGTGGTAGCATTCCTTTTGATGTCCCTCAGCCTAAGAGGGTACACTCTCAAGTGGAATACAGTATATGCAAAAATAGTAAAAACACATTCTGAATCAACCTCAGTGCATCAAACTGTTCATGTCATAAAGATAATTATGTCCAAGATAAAAGGGCAGAGATGTTCAGTAACGAAGTTGAACTACTTAAGTACTGTACTTAAGTACCAAAATGCAGTATCTGTACTTTATTGGAGTAGATATTTTTTCCCCTACTTTTACTTTTACTCCACTACATATTTTTTATTATTTCAATACTTTTACTCCGATCGATTTTTCACGGGCTGAATCGTTACTCGTTACTGAAATGTAAACGTAATGATAGATAGCTCTGTCAGGGTTTGTGAAGCTGGCTCCTCATTGGCGATGTGAACGATCAAGCATAGCCTATTAAAAAAAGCCTCCCGAAAGATTATAGCCTTCAAAATTTCCCCATCTTATCTGAAGAAACATATCAAGGTAAATAAAAAAATACAATGACATATAAGCTAGTAAATAAGCGCTATTTCAGTTCTCCCTGTTCACTCAGGACGTAGCAGCTAACGTTAGCTAAAGCTAACCTAGCTGGCTAGCTGTATGCTACATGCTAGCATAAAGGGTCAGCTCTGACTCTGGAATAATAAATAATAGTAGATGAAGTGCTGTTGATTGCTAATGCAGATGCAGTTTTCTGTTTTTTGTAAACACCTGTATGGTTTTTCACACGTTTAAAATAATGTAAATAATATCCATTAAATTTTTGACTGCCTTTTTTTAATATACACAGTGCTTGTACTTTTACTTATACTTGTACTTTCGATACTTGAGTAGCAATTTTTGAAATACTTCTACTTGCAATACTTAACTACAAAAAAAATTGAGTACTTCCGTACTTCCACTTGGACTGTCCAGGGTGTACCCTGCCTCTCGCCCGTTGACCACTGGGATAGGCTCCAGTTCCCCCCGCGAGCCCATCAGGGAATAAGCGGTATTGATAATGGATGGATGTATGGTACTTCCACTTAAGTATGGTGTTGAAAGAATACTCCTACTTTTACTCAAGTCATTTTTTTTACATAGTACTTGTACTTCTACTCCACTCCTCTACTCCAGTACTTTAAACATCTCTGTAAAAGGGATACTGCGTTGTATACGCTGTGATGCATGACTCTGCTGTCACCAAGATCTGTTAAAAACTAACTCCATGTCATTCCCCTCTCTCTGTCAACATCCCTCTTTAACCATTAGCTGAGAAGTTTCAATATGACATCAAGAGGACCTTTGCACTGTCTGGTTAAAGGTCCCTAGAAATCAGCTGGATGCACATTTCTGATAGCTGATAGTGTCGTGTGCAACTATGTAACCAGAACCCAAACACATTCAGGCAAACTGAGTCACAGCACGCCTGCATTTTACACACACCTGTCATACACACACAAGTGGGAAACGATTCTGAAGAAATATAAATGCCAAACGTAATTGTCAGAGTAAGAGTTGAGTTTGATTTAGCAGAAAGGAGTTCCTTTTGATTGAAGATACAAAGATAGAAAACTACTGAAAAAACTCTAACAATAAATGATTCATTATTTGTTTCTGTTTAACTGTTTATGATTATGGACCTATGGTATCTTAAATAGGAACCCAGACTGAATGGAGAGTCGATGGCTTCTGAGAGACTAAAGGTTAACAGAGTTACCTGCTGGACTTAATTTCGATTCAGACATTGTCATACTTCATGAAACTGACACTATAGGTTAGATGCTCTCTTTCTCTCTCTCTCTCACACACACACACACACACACACACACAAAGACATCTATCGGCCTTATTGGGTGGGCTGGTGAAAGCACCTACGGCCCATTACTCATGGTTGACCTCAGAGTAGACAGGTCAGCCTAGCTTGGCTTTCTGAGCGATACGGCAAAAGCAAGAAAACTGGAGGACTGTTCTTCTTCCAGCTCATTGGTCAGCTCTGATTTATCATGCAATCCATCAAATGACCAAGAGCAGCTCTCTGCCATCGGACTTTCACCTTCACCTTCTCAACCTCAAGCATAGAAAACATCACAATCGTACAATATAATACAATTATGAAATATTCAACAATCCTCCATTTACTTAGTCTTCCAGTTATCATCAACATTTTAAAGTGGTGTTTGATCTAAAAATTTTAAATAACTACTCACAAAACACACCCTGTGGTTTTTCACAATTAAACCAGCAAATATGAGCGTTTGATAATGAAATCAAATGAATACAAATGAAAATTTAATTTAATTTTAATGACAAAAAGTATTCATCCCAAAAGGACATTATATTGTTGAAGTGTTTTTTTTAAAGCAACCATTACAAGCATTCATAATAAATGCTAATTGCTGCTTGCATGCATGACCTCCCGTGGCTTTCTTTTTGCATCTGAGCTGAAGGTGATTACACACCAACATGATTTCCTTGAGATGTTCGTCAGATGTGTTAATTACGGCAGGCAAATTGTGCAGTATTCTTCTTTTACATATCAGGTCAAGGAGCTTCAGAGCAGTCCCCATTTTTTGTCAGACTGGTCAGTGTGTTTGAGTTACTGGCTCTGATACTGCAAAATCAACAGATGGCTGCATAGCAGACTACAATTAAAAACAATACAGTGTGGAGTTGCAGAAAAACCTTTCACGAGACTATTATAACAATGAAATCATGCAATCCCTCTGTGTTCAACAAGGCGACAAAGTTGAATCTACTGAGCCACATTTGGAGAAGGGCAGAGTGACTCTCTTGCAGACAGTTGACTAAATTATTCCACCACTGTCCAGTGAAGTAGTTAATGTTTAATTCAACTGGGAAAAACTCTTAAAATTAGATTATATATCAAGACAAGCTTCTTTCACACTTATAATGGCACTATTAGAGGAAATCAGACTAACTCATTGGGCTCATTAGTTTGCTAACGGTAGAAGATTAGAATACTAAGGGGAGGATTAAGAGTACAGAGGCAGTGTGAGATAGCTGCTTTGAGCAGGTATGGTTGTATGGACAGAGAAACAACAAAGCCACCAGGGCTCTGTTGCTGCTATTGCAGGAAACAACTTGTGAGGACAGTGGATCCAAGTCCGCTGCTGTCTTGACTGAGTTGTTACAAACTTGCATGAATTATCAACAGTTGTACACAATGACAGGGTGCGATTCAGAGCCACACGTGTAAGTGTTGATTTCTTCTGTAACAGAAAGTGTCTGTAGCATTACCCTTATTGATTCTGAAGAAAACATTTATTTTCAACAGACAAGAGTGAGGTAAAGAAATTTCCCTGGCTTTAATCTAACATGGAGCAGCACATCCTCCTTAATATAAAGTTATATGCTGATGCAAGAATCTTGAGCTACCGAGCCACCAGCTGCACTCATGCTATCATAGTCTAACTGAACTCAGGGAGGACTTTTCTGCTGACAAGAAATTGAAAAATTACGATGAACAAATATTCACAATAGGTTTAACTGCTGCTTAAAGCTTATAGTACTCGTCTATAATGTGAAATTTACACATGAGAAAGTTGAAGTGACAGGATTCTATATACGGTACTTCTTTTAGAACTGCAGCACTGAGTTAACATCTTGGGCTTTAAATTTCCTCTCATCTTGACTTCCTGAGTCCTTCTTGATTGCAGCATGAAGCTTATAAATGTAGAACCATGTTAATTTTGCATTTTAAAAATAATTATTTAGATTATTATTTATTTTGTTAAGCATTCCACTGAAGACATTTATAGTTTTCTGTTGTTTTCTAACATTTTATGGAATGGAATGTATATCCTTTGCTTTTCAAAGAAATGACTAAAAGGACTGATATGAATGAAATTTTGACTCTTCTCCTTGCAAACAGGATGTATATATCAATGTCTCTGTATCTCAGAATGATAAACAGGAGAGTTTAATACAGAGTTGCTAAACTGTCATTAGCTGCTCTGTTTGGACATTACTTAAAGCAGAGGAATGCCAGCATTCTTCTGGTCATAGAAAGCATGACGCTGCCCTGTAAACCATAGGAACACGCTCACTCTTAAATGTTTCAGAATCATACAATCCACAACGATGTAATCGCCTTATACACGAGGAGAGACTGATAACTTCCAACCAGGGCAAACAAGGACAGCAGACTTGGCAATCCTTACTAGACTACACCTCATTTTCGGAGAGTCTTCAACACTGCTGACCCCTTTTTCTCCCACTTTCTGCTATCTGACCTCGCTGTTCTTCACCTTACAGCAGGGCCCCACCCTCCTCCTGCATTTCCTGTAAACAGGCTGGAGGGAAGCTCCTGTGCTAGATGCTTCCTCCCCAGGGATGACCTGGCAATGACCCGTAGAGGGACTGGCACCGGGCGATGTAAGCCAGTGACACGCCCTATTCACCACCTCACCACACAGTATACCGCCCAGTATAACAATGTACTCAAGACAGGTCTCTCACCACCACTAACTCTGATATAAGAGTGGGTGGAGGGGCTGTTTTAAAGGGCATGCCAGGGATTTGTCACTACTCTTGAGAGGTCTGTGTTCAACAGAAATTATGCTAAAGGTTAACCTAGGAATCCAGATTTCAGTATTAATATTTGAAGTACTTTCCCAAACGAACAGTACCAAATTTACACTATAGCTGCATTTCAGCTTAACCCCTTAATGTCGTATCTATCATATTTGATACATAGAAGTCTGAAACGTATTGCATCATCATGCTTAAAGAAACTGCTACATAGAATGTTTCCTTTTTTAACAGAGTTTTTAAGTAAAAAATACACGCAATTACACACACATATGTTTGTGTATATATTCACTTTGTTACAGAGACAAAGATCAGAAAAATATTTTTTAAATCCATTTCTTCCGTTTGAAAATGACAAAAAAACTCATTTGTTTCTGCACGGCTGCTTGGCAACAACAGCTCTGCATCCTCAGCACCCGCATCATCTTTGATAAAGCAGCACAGAGCTCTAAGTTAGTTGTCTTGCACTTATGTGCAGCTGCATTACACACACTTCCACAAACGTACAAGCACCTTGTATACGATTAGGATGAATCATTAATGTTCCTTTAGTTTATCCATTGTGTACTGTGGTAGGTTGCTAATGAACATTTCTATGCCCTGTGTGTTTAAACAGAATCTCTGGATACTGGTGTACATTAATCACACAAGTTGAAACAAAGAGAGCCTGTGGGACAGCGGCTTTGTAAGTTCTTTTTAAAATGCATGTCTGTGACTGCAGGCACGGTCCTTTTGTGTGCACTGCTCTGAGGCCATTTGGTCAATTCCCTCACCACAAAAATCTGCTTGTTCCTCAGTGGGTCTGCGGCCACGTTGTGTTAAATGTGTTTTCAGTAGGTCATTGTTAACATCATCAGAGCGATTCGAGACTGCAGTAGTGTCAAATTAGGAAGAGAGTACAAAGTTAGATGCAGTCACAAAAATAAAAGAACAAGCAAGCCAACAAATGAAAACAATATACTTATACCCATGCACATGCATGCACACACTAATCACAAAAACATTAACCAGGCCTGTGTCGGCTCACCAAAGAGTGGCCTTGGCAACAGCAGCCACTCTGGGTGGAATGCAGTGTGGGTGAAGTGACAGGATGGATGGGTTCTTTACATCCGTCTGAACGGTGTGAAACCTCAAGTACACAATGAGTCACATCGATACCACATCTATGGCACAAAAAGCCTCCACTGACCAACCCATGTCTATGAAATAGGAAGGTGAGATAGGTATAAAGTTTACTGGCTCACCAGATAACCTTTACTACAAAACTAATGTTGTCCAAGCTACTTTACAGGGAAATGCGTTTAAAAAATCTATATAAAATGAAGGCTGAAACATTTTTTTATGCAGATAGATAGTTTTTAAGTCACTATTAAATAGATGAAAGCTGGCTATTGGTCATGCTATCTTTCTAGATTGCATTTTAAACACTATTAAAACTAATAGTGTCCGATCATCATGGACCCCTCTGTAATAGTCGGTTTCTGACAGCCCAGAGGTCATCAAAAAAGTTTTTTAATTAGGATTCGAGGAAGGATGTGTACATGTCCTGTAATGAATGAATCTGCAGCACAGGCCAGGATCGTTTTGTACGGCCGATCAGACTGACTCCTCACTCCATCACACACTGCAGTAAATCTTGCAGCCCCTCAAGGGCTCAGTGAAAGGGAAACACACTAGAGAGAGCTACTTTAATAAAAGCCTTCCTAAACTTAAACATCAATGTCAGGTACAGGAGAGCAATTACACAAGAACTGCTCTTGCTTTCTTTCTCCTGCTCGTATGAGACAGCCTACGATCCTGCTAAACTGTTATAACCCTTGTTGCCTGATTCTTTCTATTAACACCTCTTCTGCCGCTCTCAATTTCTTTCATCCTCCTCAATTTCAATGTGTGAAAAAACACCCACCCCCTCTTCCACTCCACCCATTTCTCCACTTTTTAATTGCATCCATAATGACTTTCTCTAATGTGGCACTCAGCGAGCTACCTCATTGCTATTACCTGTTCTATCACCTCAGACTTGCATAGGAAGCCCAGCGCCAGATGTGACCTCTAAATTCTTTCAGTGAAAAGCAGGAGTAAGCTCTCCCACTAGCATTCTCCACCTTCCCAAAAGCCAGTGATGTCTGACACTACAGGCTGCTCGTTTCTCCAATTGTATTCAGCCAGGTGACTTTTGCTCATCTGAGACACATTGAGAGAGTATATGTCAGCAGATTATTTGTCTAGATTACCCATTTGAGTAAAAAGCTGAGGCCCTATTTTATCAGCTGAACAGTTCTATAGCTCTGCATATAAATGCTCTTTACATACTTAAATAAAACATCACATTTGAATGTACACTTGAGTCTGAACCCGTGAGGCCAACTTAAAATGATTCATGAAAATATTAAAAATCTTTTACTGTAAATCAGGTTATGGCAAGAAAACAGAATTATGCTATGGGTCCTTTCTGTCCATTATTGTAACTTGGGACTTGGTACCTTTAATTATAAAACATAATGAAAATGAGAAAGCGTGTCTTTGGATATCATTAGCAGTAAGTGCAGCTCATTTTGAAGGATTGGTTGTGAGGAATTTGAAAGTTACTTAAAGTCTTACATACCTTTCATTGTCCATTTTCGATGCCTGGGGTTTGCTGTCAATCCCAGGGAAACTGTTCATATCCACGTATCCATCATTCTCGTTGCAGGGAAGCGTTGAGCTGTTTGGGTTCTCAAAAAACACTGTAACAGTATGGGATCTGGCAGGTCTTCCAGGAATCTGAATGTTCTCATATTCAGAACTCAGAGCTGGGATGTTTTCATACTCTGAGCGATCTGCACTAGGAAAGGAGGTGGAACGAGGTTTGGTCAAAGGAAGGGGCATAACAGAGCGGCGTGAGCGCTCCTCGAAAGACTCCCCTCTGGAGACGCTCCGGCCGTAAGCTTTGGGGTCTCCTTTTCTCCCCTGGTTTTCTTTGTAGAAGACGAAAGAAGCTGGCAAGTCTGGGAGTTGTTGCTGGGGGTTCACCATGTGGGACTGAAGCTGGGGAGAGCTGCCGGTGCTTCTGTGATCGATCTCTACAACTCTCACCGAGCCATGGTGGCTGGATTCAGATGAGGAGCGTGACGAGCGGACACTTCCATCACTGAAACTCTTTGAATCTGTCTTCTTCTTGAACTTGAACTCCAGAAAACGTTTGAATGAGGACTTCTTCTTCTTAGGCATTTCACTGGGCTCATGATGGATCAGGAGGGACGGTGAACTCTTGGTGACTGGTCTTTTAGTGATGTATACCAACTCAAAAGGTGGTGGAATATCCACTAGAGAGGTTGGCGTGGAAACCCCACTGGACGACTGATGGCTACGCTGAGAGAAACTTCCAGAAGAAGTTATGACACATGGAAGAGAAAGGTTGTCATCCTTCCTCTTAAACCTAATCTCATCCTTCAGCAATTGGTCCTTCTCTGTTGGTACAGTCAGTGACAATTCTGGACCCTCTGTAGACCGAGAGTATAACATATAGCGACGAGACTTTGTGGATGGAATCACACAGTTGACTGTGTGATTCTGCTGAGAGGGGCTGGGAGGTTTGCTGTTCTTATCCAGGGCTACAGTGCAGTAGTCATTGGTCTGGTATTCCGTCCCTGTCTCCTCCGGCACAGTTTCTGGGACATAGCCCGTAATTTTACCAGAATATGATCGTGATCGCGTAACAATGGTCTTCCGATCAAGTGCCACAAAGTTTTCACCGTCTGAGTCGAACCCCGCCTCTTCGTATATGTGCTCTTCGCTGTCAGAGTCTGTGTCGTCGTAGTAAGGCACGATGTGGCAGTCCAGCTCTTCAATGTCTTCTTCAAAGGCCTCAGTGGTGTGGGCGAACACCACTCTGTTCGTCAGCTCGGGTGTGCGGCCCAGGTCTAGATCTGCTGGCACTGTGATGTTGCACAGCCTCAGACGAGGCTGGCAGCTTTTTCTCTGGCTAAGGAAAGACTGCTCTCGCCTAGCTGTCCTCTCTTTTGCGCTTTTAACACGGATATGCTTCTTTCCTGTCTCCTCCTCCTCTTCATCATCATCGCCTATCTCTACATAATCCTCTGATGAGACGCATTCAGATTGCTCAAAGTTATCTTCTTTTTGGCAGAGTGACTCGTCGATGTCCGCATACTCATCTGCCGACTCACTGTCCTTTGCTTTTTCTTCATGTTGATGACGCTGTTCAGTCTCTTCCTCCACATGATGCTGTTCCAAAAGGGCTTGCTTGTCTTCCAGCTTATCTACATCGTCTGATGACACATAGAAAGGTTCCTGGCAAGAGGCACCTTCTGTTTCACCTTCATTTCCTGTGTAAGCCTTCTCATCCTCATCTGGGCACCACTCAGGGTCCGCCGTGCCACTTGTGTCTCCTGGAACAGCCTCAATGACAGCGTAAGGCCCGAACACATCCTCAGTGCTGGATGTAAACCGAAAACACCCAGAAACATCCTTGGTGGCCCTTTCCGGTTGCCACACTTCTGTATCACCTGTTTCGGCTGGGTCACATGACTCACATGTATCACTGGCATCATCATTGGGGCCAATCAAATCATAGGGATACTCCTCAGTTACAGTTGGAAGCACGGTGAATCCAAATGCAAATCCCCCAGCCTCCAGTTCAGTCTCACTGGGGGCTGGGCAAGGCTGACTGTCTGCTTCATAGAGTCTCGTTTCACTGTTTTCACCACCTTGACTAAAGCAATGCGCCTGATCGTGGTTTTGACCTTGTGCACTTTCATCTGTGCGTTCTTCAGTGCAAAGGCATGCTTCCGTCTTTTCAGTTAAAACCGGTTCTTGTTTCTCATGCCCGGCTACATCTTCTAGTTCAGTTGAGGGAACAGAGGGCGTTATATTTTCACCGTTGGTGTGACTGCCACTCTCAGGCTGGATGGAGTCATTGTCAGTGGTTTCATCGTCAGTAGTGTTGATCAAGTCATCAGCTTTGACCGTGTCCTCCGAGTCAACGCTGTTTGCGTCTCCATCGTTATCTAATGTTTCTGCCTCTTTTAATGTTTCCACCACATTTTCTCCACCAACTGCGTCCTCTCTGTTATTGCCTCCTATGCCACTGTCACTAACCCCATCCTGTGCTTCTTTTTCCTCTTCTCTGTCATAATACTCCTCTAATATTTCCTGGAGACCCCCTGTTTCCCCATCATTGTGAGCCAGTTCTCCGTTACTGAGGCCCTGTTGAGGGACGAGCTCTGTCTGTGGGTGGGGCTGATTCTTCGGCTTAGGCTTGGGAGCAACAGGAGGTTTTGCTCCATGGACAGGTGGACGAGGTTTTGACATCCGCTTGGACTGCACTTTGATGGTGAGATAGCTGCGGACCTTTGGTCGAGGGACTTGCAGTGGATTTTGAAAATCTGCACAGGAAGAGTGAGAAAAAGTTAAAAATCTAAGTTCCCCAAAGTATTTTCACGATTCAAACAATCGCCATGATTTGCTTACTACAAACTCTCACGGCGGGATAAAACATTGTGCATATGCAGCTGTAGAGAATGCTGGGAGGAAGCTATGTCCTGTACAGTGGGCTGTGACAAGCAGAGAGCTGCGGGGGACATTATCAGCAGGAAAAACAACAGAGCCACTGAGTCCTTAGAGGAGGAACAATAACATCTCCGTCTGGGAAATGACATATGCAGATTGGATGTTTGTAGAAGAATTGGATAAATAATTGATTGACTGATTATGATCAAAACGTTCAAAACAATTTAATACTATTAACATCAAAATTCTTTCTGTGCACTGAAACAGCAACAGAATTAACAACAGAAGGGGCTACGTGTGTAAACAGAATTTTCCTGACTTTGATTAAGTTTTAGGAAATTGTACATTCGCTACAGATAACTGCTTATTAAATGTAAACGTGCCATGAAACACACCCATTCTTAACATGTGTACACCCCTGGTCTCTTCCTGTTATTTAGTACCTGCCCTGACGCACATCCTATTAAACTCAGAGTGCACTCTGGTTATCTCTTATTATTTTCATGCTCCCTCTTTCTATCTGAGCTGCTAATCTTTTGGTAACATGACTTCAATTTCTCCCAATTTTTTTTTACAATATTAGCACAACAACATTCTTGCTTTCAGATTGTCTATGTTCATTAACCAGTCCAGCTGAGCCTCAATGAAGGACCACATACAGGATGTCCACTGGGGAAAAGACATTAACAGGGAGGCCCCCAAACCCTCCTCCATAAAGCTCTCCAGGATTACGCATTTTCGCAACACAAATGGACTTCCTTCTCCTCATTCTTGCTTGATTCTCACGCACACTGAATTACACACAACCAAACATTTAAGTCCGCACAGTTTTTTTTTTCTTCTGAAAAAGGCAATTAAAGGGGGCCAGAGAACAATAAAAAATTGTGAAAAAACAGTCAGTCACAGCGCACAACTGCAAACAACAGGATGTGAATTATGCAACAAGAATTCAATTAAAACAAATGTTTGAGAAACAAAGGAAGACATAGACACTGGAACCTTGACTGTGCCAGACTCACAGGATATGATTTCACAGTGTTCTGAATATGAATGTCACCCATCAAACCACAACAACCTGTCTGAGATCTGAAGTAAAGTAGTTTTAAATAAATTTGTAAAAAAATATAATACTTTATATTCTTGTTAACTTCTCAGTAAAAAGAATGGCAGACCACTTTACGGAATACAAGATTTGCAGGAATTTTCCGTGTAGAATGGTCTTTCTCATACGAACCCAAACATACTGGATTACCCCAAACCACCCCTTCACATCAGTTAAAATAAACAGACCAAATTTAAGCAAACTGCAAACACAGTAACTTTATCCCCCTCGTGCATGATCACTCGTTGTGTCACGCGACTCTATGTGGAAAATAAACCATTTAAAGTTAAGCGTCCTGCCTCTGCGCGAGCCTTCTTAATTTACAACCAACCTGCGTTCATTGTGGGACATCATCATCCACGGCGACCGACGGCTGTCCTCATTTCCCCCGCGCGGATATTCCCTCCAAACGACGCGGAAAACTTCATCCTAACACATTGCGACAAAATCATGTGACAAGCGAATCATCGTTTTGGTCCTCTCGTGCGAGATGCTTCTTGGTTTGTCGCGCGCAGTTTTTGCTCTTAGTCCGCGTGCATCTCCTCTCCCTCTGTGGCGGCGCACTGGTGCGCTCCCGTGCGCTCCCGTGCGCGCGGAAACGGGAGGTGCTGTCCGGCGTTTCCTGAGGCTGGACTTCAGCACGGCGCCGAGACTCACTCAAGAAATGTTTCACTTTTCTTTTTTTTTCTTTTCTTTCTGTGCAGACCATAGCAGCTTATGAACGGAAGGTCTTAATGAACTATTATTCTGATGGCCAATCCGTTTTTTTTTTGTTTTTTTTTTCTGTTTTGGACACAAGCACACATGTGTGCAAACAGGGCCAAACCATTTCCATTCCAGGGTCAATTGCAGGTCAAAATGTGAAGGATTTGGATTTAAACTATTAGACTTTAAGCTGTAGGCAGGCACAGTTCATGCCCGGTTCTTTTCCCGAGGGCCAGATTAAGGTCCGCATCCACTGCACAAAGAATATAATATACTTATATGACAGTTGTTTATATTTAGGTACACCTCCAGTCCATTCACTGATTTACAATCAATAACATAGAACATAATCTAAACAAATATATTAATCCGAGCCGCTTGGATAAATCATGATTAAAATATGGACAATTTGTGTTTTTTAATCTGTGTGATAGCACAGATTTTCACACAGGTGTCTGTAGTATGTTTTGCTCATAGAGTATTTCCTGAACCAGAACAGTCCATAGAAAGGTTCCTAAAAGCAGTTTCCAAAAACAGTTTGTCTAGGACACCAAAAGCTTTTGCTATTGGCTGGGCTTCCTGACCCAGCATCTGTTGTATGACTGAATGAATGCAATCCTTGAAAAAAAACTCTTCATAACAGGAAACTGCTCTCCCTGTTTCCTGCACAACAGGCAACGCTCCCTTAGCAACATATTGGAAAGGTTGGCGATGTTAACCCTTTAGATAGCACTCAGTGGAGCTGACGGTCTCGCAGAGCTCAGAGTAAGATAGTTTGTGGAACCAAAAAATGTCAAAATTAAAAAAACCCACAAAAACTGATTAGCTCAAAGGTCAGATTCAAGGAGAGAAAAGCCATTGGCAACATAAGGAGCATCGCTCACTTTGGGTCTTTGATTTGACAGCTCCCAATGCTGGTTAAATGCCCACATGTTGAGATGGGACTATCTGACCTCTTTTCTCCTTCTCTGCTGCACACTGGAAGGTTAAACAATGCAGCAGGCGCAGTGGAGATGAAGTGGATAGTGAAAGAGCCGGGAAACACAATGAAAGAATTGGCTGAACTGAATCGCAACAGGGCTCTGGTTCTTACTGCTGCAGCGGCACACGGACCCATCTATTACACACAGCGAAATCCCCATTCCAGATGGTCTGGTGCAGGAGGGATTGGGTTTTGCTGCACGCACAAAGTGCAATTAGACTCCGCAAGGTAATTAGACAGTGTTCATGTCATAATCAGCTTATAAGAACTTTTTCACTAGCTCGAGGACTATCTTATTAAACAATAAATACTTTGACGTGGGTGGTGATAGAATCTCTGAATTATTTAGTATGACACTCGAGCTGACGATGTGATTATGATGTCGGCTGCAGTAATTATTTTTCTGTGCAGGCTGAGTAATGTCGTTTGCATTATGCGCCACAACTACGTTATAATGGTTGTTTTGTTATGACTTGCTCTAAGTGTGATACTGCAATAGCTATTGTGTAGTGCTGAAGCCAAGGCAGTGTTTTGAATGTGTCAGGAGTAGCACATTTATAGCTGCCATAAAGTAACCTTTTGTTTTTGAACTGGATGACTAAAGATAGCTCTGCTCCGGTCTTCTGGCAGAGCCAAATACACTGCTCTAAAGAGTGAATCAAGCACATGTGACCTTTTTTTTTTTGCTTTCACTTGGCAAAATATGTTTTGCTTTTGCAAGGGTGTGCAAATAGAACCTGTCAAGAGTATTGTGTCATGTTGCTGGAGAAAAAGAATGGCTTTCTGGGTAAATATCCCTCCAGATGTGTCACAGACGGTCAAAACATGTTTTTGGATGGAGGACACGAGTTTCCTGGACAGCCTGTGGCTGCGAGCTGTGTTCTGTCACCCCACCTGGAACGCAGCTTGACTGGGTGAGAAACACCGAATGGAGATATTAAGAAAAACATACTGTTGTAGCAGGGAACAAGCCAGCGTTATCTCCCCTCCACTCAGCTGCACACACAACACCAAACAGGAAAGGGATCGGGGAAAAGGGGTCAGCGGCTTGTTCCCAGAGCTGAGACAAACCACAACACCTGCTCAAGCAGTGGACAGACAGCGTTCTCAATGGGTATGCCGAGCATTTTCCCTCCCTTCGGAGACTAAATTCATGTGACATCATACCAAAACACAACAGATAGCGTGTGCTTTGTCTTTGGAAAATGAGTCACGTGTGCTTCTGACAAAATAAGTCACTGAATTACATGACTGTACAAACAAACTGTTGGGCCTTAAATTCAGATATTGATTATATGATACTCAGCAACAATCAGGCAAAGGGTCTCTCACTTTTAAAGTGACCTCAAACACCTTTGAAATTGCATGTCAAAGGGTTTGACTGCTGCTATGGATTGAACCGTCATTGACAGGTTTTATTGATTCGCAGCTGCGCGCAGCCAGAGGAGACGGCAGCCTCCATCTCCTGAGACTTAGGTATTTGCTCCGAGCTTAAAATTCTGATTAAGAGACTTCAGAGCAGATGAGATGGGTATGATAGGACAACAGACTTTATTAAAATGTCAGGGAATTGAAGAGTGTGGAGATGATCTTTGGGATTAATAGAGCTTGGTCGTTCTCAACGAAGACGTGCGACAACATAGATGATATGTTATTAATCGAAACAACAATGATACAAACCCGAGTAGCTCAGGTGTCTTGACCAATAATAACTGCTCTCTGTAACAAAAGGGAAAATAAAATCCTGTTGTCAGCAGCATGTATGGGACCCCTTCCAAACCACCCCTTGCATGACGGTAAACAGGAGGACCATGAGGATCAGCAAAACCCCCCCCCCCCAAAAAAAAAAAAAAAACAGCAAATACAGGTTAAGTTCTCTAAAGCACCTTTTCAACTCCACAGCAGCTGACTCAAACTTCTCTCTCATATTGTTTCGCCTGAATAATAAACGTGCATCATGTGAAAGGAAGAGGTTAAATATGAGTTATTGTTGTAGTCACCAATATGTGGACATATTTTCACATTCAAGCGCTTTTTTTAAATCATAAATTGACACCGTTTATCCGAATAACAACTGAGAGGTGGGACAGTTTACTCATTAAGTCATCCAACGTTTTACAAGTGTTGTTCGTGTTAGCTTGGCCTGCTCTGGAAGTGGCAGCACTTGTCCATTTCCAATAATAGCAGGGCATTGTTGTGTTTAAAATGTGCTGGGTTCAGAGGAATAGCTGCCAACATTTTGGTTAATTAGTCTAAAGCCAGACGGACCAGACTTTGATAACAGTTGAATTCGTTATTTTTTTTACTCTGTTGCAGCACAGACGGCCATCTAAGCTGAACTGTACAGGGTCATCGACTGAATAAAGAGAAAGTCCTATAGGAGCTCCATCAAAACAGAAAAATAAGTGTCCCTGGAGATCTTTGATTGTAAGAGACTGATGAGGTGTTGCTGTCTGTTCCCCTGCAGGTTTTTAATGCAATTTAAAATTCTAACTGCAGAATACCTTTGTTTATTATTTTTAATAGCCTTGAACACTCATATCTCATCAATTCCCAGCATGCAAGTTTATTCTTTGTGTTTATGCAGATGTTTGCTGTGCATATCTACAAATGAGTACGCTTCACAAGTGCGTGCTCTGCTCACAACCACCACTCGTGTTGTGTATACTACTAAAGGATCTGCAGAGAAAACAATGGGATCATGAAAAAAAAGCCCCGAGCCAGAATTTACTCTTCCTGTGCGTGTTTTTACATTTCTCAGCCAAAGGAGACTGGGAGGATGCAGATACTCTTGCAAGTGCTTTTACATAATCTCACGCAAGTCTGGCTCAAGGTGAAAGTGTATTATTTGACTTATGTAACAACATGCTGCAGAAGAAATGGTTTAATTCAGGCCTAACTACGAGAGCGAAGTACATCAGATTGACATTTGACCTTTGCTGGAAGAAATTGACCAAAGAAGCTAGAAACAAAATAACTGCGGAATCTGTCAGGACTCCAAAGTGAAATATAGTTTTTGAATGCCTGCCTAGCAAATATGCTTGACATCTCACACAATATGAGCAACAAAGCATAAGTCAAATCTCTGATACTATTTCTGCACGCCACGGTAGGCACATAAATTGTTGCTTTGAAAACAATCAGGCCGGTCTGTACACATTATGAAAGTAATAACATATCAGGGGGTTTCCAACTTCTTCTGACAATACATCTTTCATCATCTTGCCCACATTTGCAGATATGAATGAATGATGTGATGTCTGTGTAAGTGTGTGTGTGTGTTCACAGTCTAGTTTTAAGATAACTGCGCGGGTGTGCATGGAAAACACATATTGGTTGTTGCTTTTGCTTCTGTCACCCGACCTGTGTGACCTCCTACACAAAGATAACAGGCCAGTCTCTTATCCCCAGCACACCCTGCCCCCCTTGCCTCTTGCTTGGCAGCTCAGACAGAGGACTTCCTGCTTTCGAGTTGTCTAATAGAACAATCTCTACAGCAAGCACCGCAACCTTCCTTCTGTCTCTACCAGGGTTTTGTTTTGAGATAATTAGGTTCTCTCTAATCAGGACAGTCCCTGACAGACAGGAAATGAGAGGGATCTATATTAACATGCTATTCGGGATGTAGCCTGTGCAATGATGAAAGATTTATTCAGAAGATTTGGCTATTTATACATGAATTTGCATTGTGACAAGACTCGTGGTATGAGAATTGTCACATATACTGTATATACAGAATAGGTACAATTAGGAGTAAAAAACACTCATTAGATTTGAGTGGAATATCTATCTTTTCTCTGGTCAGTGACTTTGCTGAAGTGGTGTCCCTGCGGTTCTCTTGTGTATTCTCCTGTACGATTGTGCCTCAGGGGGACAAAGGGAGTGGCGCTGTTAAGATACTCC